TGAAGAGCCAGATGAAGGCCAAGAGCAAAACGAGCCTTAACGGCAAGAGGGATGGGGATCAAGCAAGCATCAAATAGTGATCAGCAAATCAAGTAGAGACCAACCAAAAACAAATAGGGATCCTCAGCCACGGCAAGATGACTCATGCTTTGAAGTGAACTCATTTGCAGATGCCAGTGGTGTATTGTATCTGACCTAGCTCTTTGATGAATATGGCCAAGAGCATCGACAGTCTGCTTCAGGAAAGATGTGGGAGATGGCGAGGACCAGCGGGTTCAATCAAGTTTTGCAACCCAGGGCCTAGGGTAGCCAAGGAATAGCAAGGTAAGGGTTGGGAGGGGAAACCCGCCAAGATTGTGCCCGACAAGACGCTGTGTCATGTCAGCAATCTTGTGTTGGTACTTCTTTCGCTGGTGCAGAGTGGCAACGGTATTGCTGATTTGCCAGCCAACATCCAAGTAACATCTTCAAGTAACATCTTTTCTTTTAGGGTTTGCAGTTTGCCATCCATGATCTTTAGGGTTTGCGTTTGCCAGGCGACAACGCCTTATAACTCCTTTTAACGATTCAGGTTTGCCAAGTAATATCGTATTTCTTAGGGGTTTGGGTTTGGCCCTCGCGATCTGTAAGGTTTGTTTCTTTGTCAACCAGCATCTCCCTTTACAGTTTCAGATTTGGCAAGCAATACCTTCTTATGTTAGGGTTCTGGAGGTTTGCCACCAACGAGTTTGAGGGTTTGGGGGTTGCGGTGACAGTTAGTTTAAGGTTTCAGATTTTTCAAGCATTATATTTTTGCTTCGGGCATTTGCTGTTTGACACCCGCTACCTTTATTGAGAGTTTGGGCTTTGTCAAGCAACATGTTTCTGCAGTTTCAACACTGCAATCTGGTCACGCACGCGCGTATTTTTGCCTGGTGATTTCGTGATTGAAGCCCCAGAAATTTCAGAGGTTTTCGGTCGTTTGAAGACGGTCTTGGGGAAATCCGTCATAACTAGTGCTAATGCAGGCTTGTTTCAACTTCGCTATCTTCGACCAAGTTTCACCAGCTGCCGCAAGCAAGCGCTTTGCTAGAGATCGCTCGGCCTTTTCCGGAATGCTCGGGCACTTGGAGAAACCTCGGGCTCAGACATTGGCTCGCGCATAAATATCCACAAGTTTTTCAGAAAGGCTGTGGTTTCGTTGGGCTTTGCCAAGCAACATCTCCTTTAAGGTTTCAAGTTTGCCCAGCAATGGCTTGTTGACTTTAGTGTTTGGGGTTTGCAACCCACGATCCTCAGATTTGGGATTTGTATCTATAGGTTTCACTTGGCAAAGCAACATCCATCTTGAAGGGTATAGGTTTGTCATGTGATGTTTTCTTCATTTTAGGTTGCCACCCACGGTCTTTAGGGTTTGGGACTTGCCAAGCAACATCTCCTTTTTAAGGTTTCAGGTCTGTAGAGTGTACTATTGTTTCTCTTTTAGAGTTAGGGGCTTGCCACCCAAGATCTTCAGAGGTTTGGCATGTTCCAAGCAAGAGCTCAGTTAAAGGAATGAACTTTGCCAAGCAATATCTTCTTGCTTTTTAGGGTTTGCCGCCGCAGGGTTTGGGATTTGCCAATATCTCCGTTTGGGGTTTCAAGCTTGCCAACTAATACCATCACATTTTCGAGGTTGGGGTTTTGCCAACCAAGGTTTCAGGCTGGCGGGTAATATCTTCTGGTTTTGGGGTTTGCCACCTGCGATTTTTTGGGTTCAAAATTTGCCAAGCAAAGCCTCTTTGAAGGCTTCACCGCGATCTTAACGGCTTTGCTTTGAGGGTCTGAAACTTGCAGCTAGTAACTTCTTCTTTTAGGGTTTGGGGCGCAGGTCGGTGCCAAACCCCTAACCCTTAAAACACTCATACCGCTTGGCAGACGCGGCAAATCTGAAACCTTAAAAGGACATTCTGCCCGTTAAGCCCCAAACCCGTCGTGGGCAAACCCCAATACCTAAAACAAAAAGATCACACTTGGCAAACTTGGCAAACCTGAAACTTAGAAGGAGGTTCTGGCTGGCAAGCCCCGAACCCTACAGTGTTACAGGTCGTCCTTAAAAGATCCGACTTGGCAGACTTGGCAAACCTGAAACCTTGGAAGGAGATCATAATTTCCTGGCAGGGCCTGCAGCCCCAAACCAGAAAAATCTAACATACTATTGGCCATACCTGAGACCCCTAAGCGAAATGTTGGGTGGCAAACCTGAAAGCCCCAAACAATGCTGCTTGGCAAATCCCAAACCTTGCAGATCGTTCGTGGCAACCACCAAACCCCAAACGAAGAAGCTATCAGTTTGCAAGCTTTCTAGAATCTCCTTTTTAGGCCAAGTGTGATCTTTTTGTTTACGGGTTTGGGGTTTGCCACCCCACGACCTGCAACAGTGGCACACACTTGCAAGTGAACATGTCCGACGGTGCCATGTGACACATCCACATCCCTTGCGATGTACAATCAAGAAAAGCACAATGCTCCTCCATGTTGTCCGGCAGAGGCAGAATGGGCATCGGAAACCACACGCAAGAAATTAGTTGAAAGTCTCTTCATCGAACGGCATTGTTTTGATCCACGAGGCTGTGTGCAGAAGCTCCGTATTGTTCATTATCCTCCATAAGTCAACAGTTCCATTGGCATGGGACACTTCTCGATGTGATGGAACTCAAATGTCTGTTTAGCTCTCGCTTCCGCCACACCGTTCGCCACAGATCAACGTTGCTTGAGCTGCGCCAGTATAATTCGTGACAATCCAAAGTTTGCAGCCTGACAACTCCTTTGTGGACGCCCTGGCAGTCGGTATAGACAGCTGCGTGACGGGAAGCTACGGCGAACGGTTCTGATCTGTAAGCTGTCTGGGAGCAGTCCGGCTGCAAGGAGTGTTCTTCGGTCGGAATGAGGTTCCACAAAGCGCACAGCCCAGGATGCCGTCCGCTCAATGACTCTCCCGGTTGGCGGCTTCGAACAAGACCCATCCGTGAATAGATGCACTGGTTCATCCGTACGCGGGAGCTCTGGCCGAAGTGGAGGGCACAGCTTCTCAAGCTCATCAAGGCAAGTCTTGAGGGCAGGAGGCTGATTGAACAGACCCGGCGGAGGACTCGATCTGGGCCAAAAGTTGTTGAGCAAAACACATTTAGGCGACACCCCAGAAAGCTTAGAAACCTCCTGAACGCATGATAACATTAAAACCATCAGTCTGTGGATCTCCGCCATGCCAAGCGGAAGCACTGATAGAGAATCCAGCAGCATCGTCCAAACCGATTTTGTTATATATTTTGGGAACCAAAAGAGTTTGCCATGCAACACTGCAGGGTTTGGGGCTTGCCAGCGATAGTCTCCTGTTAAGGTGTCAGGTTTGCCAAGTCTGCCAAGTCGGATCTTTTTGTTTAAGGGGTTTGGGGTTTGGCACCGACGACCTGTAACACTGTAGGGTTTGGGGCTTGCCAGCCAGAATCTCCTTTTAAGGTGTCAGGTTTGCCAAGCAGGATCCTTTTGTTTTAGGGTTGGTTTGGGTCTTGCCACCCACGAGCTTTTGGGTTTGGTGGTTTGCCAGTCACAGTTTCAGGCTGCCGACTAATATCTTTCCGCCCTTCCGTGTTTTCGAATTTGTCTTCCGAAGCGATCCGCATCCGTGTGGTGGGCGTGGTGCACGAGAGGAGAGCTCCAAAGAGCACAACAAGGTTGCCTGCGCGACTCACACGTCCTTGTATCATGATTGTGCCACATGGACTGCCGTGAAGCTCACAGTTCTGCAGGCCAAAAAGCAGAAGCGAAAAGCGGAGCGTGAAGAAGGCTGCAAGCACTTACAGCAGCTTCACTATCACTCATTTGCATTGGCTCCATTGTACTTACTGTCTGCTGTCTCAGCAGCCTTGGTGCAAGCACAGCTTTCGGCATTGACAGTATTTGACAGTGTGTCAAGCGGCAGGAAGCGAGGAGACATCAAGCCACAGCAGCCGGGCCAAAAAAAAGAAAAGGATCGGCCAGACACGCTTTCAAGAAGACATACGGTCTCAGTACTGATGGTCGACGATGGTGCATTGAGAGCTGTGCCAGCACTTTCCAAAGCAGTAGCACAAACTGTCTGCCAGGAGAACAGCCAGCTCCGATGAATCTTAGGTGTCGCAGAGACATGGAGACCATGCGTCATCCCTCGTGGTGGGCGAGAAACGGCGCTGCCCAGCAACCGAGAGCAAACTTCTTGGCGTGCTTGTTCAAAGTGGCAGGTACTCTCGCACTCCACTCGCAAAGCGTAGCAGAGCCGCAGATCTACTGCACGTCATGGCTCCAAGCACTTGATGGATCAGGAACCGCACAGGATTATGCTACGACTAGAAGGGACAAGTGATCCAGGGAACAGCCTCTTTGCCATGTGCAGACTGGCAGCTTGGATATTCAACAGTCGTCTCTTGAGCAGTTCTTTTGGTACGGAAGTGGTCCTTAGATGCCACTTGCAGAGAACTGGAGCGCGACTACAATACACCGTTCGCTTTGAGCTAGATGGACCAATGCTCGATTTACAGCCATGGCCTGGCTGCCGCGAACTGAGAACTCTGCACTCAATGCGAAACCGAACGTGCCTTCTTTGTCTGCAGCTCGTCTCTGAGGTTTCTTCTGGTTGGAATCGCAATTTTTGCCTTGTGCAGTTGCCAGGTGAGCACCCGAGGGAGTGGTGAAACATACCGGAATCACCCATTCACTGCCGTCACAGTGCCTCGAATGAAGCTTTACGCAGGATGATGTCTCGCTGCGGCCTCTGCTTTGCACAGGGCGTGGAGGGCGCTGCACATCTGCGATGATGTTAGTAAGATCGCTTCTTTTCCGGAGCGTCTGCCTTTATGAGGGTTTGTCTTAGCAACCCACACCCAAGGAGACCGCACTTCAAGTGGGGACAGACAAAGGAGAAAGTGTTCGTCACCGTTGCCGTCTCCTGGCAGCATTTCAGGCAGCGAACCAAGCAGCATCGATGTGGAGCAGTCCCAGCTCAGGTGCGCAATCTCAATCGCAGCTCAGTCAGTTCCCCGCTTGCACATTCGAGGGGACATATGCCGAACATGATGCTGCGTGGCGTTACATGTCAGTTGCGTCCAGCAAGGCTCCCTGCACGGGTGTCCCCGCTCAGTGTTTGTGTTTGGGCGGGGAGGAGCTGCACTGAACAGTTCTCCAAACGTATTTGACCTGCCCATAACCGTGACACGAGATGCCCAAATGCACTAGCCTTCGCTGGTTTGCGCTAGCAATCGGCGTGCCACGAACATAGTTGAGAGTTGTTGAAGCCGATCTGCCGGGCTTGCGCTCAAAGCTGCGAAGCTACTCTCTGGGTTGGTCTGCAGCTCTCTGTCCTGTTGTTGAAATTGCTTGCTTGGTTTTGGTACACCCCTTTTGAATCAGCAGTGTGGTGTTCTTAGAGAGGTCTGTCGAAAACGTTCTTAGAAGTGTTTAGCGAGCCGCGAGCCCAATCTGAGGCGTCCGCTTCGCTGAAGATCGGCTTCGCTTCCAGTGCTCGGACAGAGAAGGGAAGGCCCACGGAATCTCCTGAGTAAACGCATAGCAGTGCCTGAGTAAACGGTACTCATATTTTATAGTTCATGGTCAAAACCGAAAGATTCAAAACTTGAGCTCGAACCCTTAGGTTCACGTGGCTTGGGACAGGTACTCCTCCCCCCTTGTGTTTCTCAAGACAGTGATCCTGCTCCCATTTCTCATCTCCGGTGCTTGTCGCTTGGGGTCGTAGAGTTGTGAGATCATGGTGGCCCAATTCGGGTTGCTCGACGTTTTCATTTGTCAGGGCCTCGCCGTGCCTTAGTTGTATGTCAGGTTGTGTGCAGCATGCCCAGTGCCAAGGGAGGCTATTAGGATTGGGATAGGACATGGCGGGAGGACTCGGCATAGCAGGTGCCTCTGCATGGGTGTCCGCCCCACGATGAATGAACACGATTTCCTGGTACGAAAAGGTGCCGAATCAGCTCTGGTACCGGACAAGCTCCGGCGATTGTAGTGCCCATCACCGATTGGTATCACAGTGAAGGATGGAAAGGGAGCTCGAGCCTGACTAGCCATGATCTGATGTTGGGCATCCAGCAGGCAACACTGCGAGGCCCAGCAGCCAGTTGTTATTGCCTTCACGGTACATGCACTTGTCAGTTCGCAAGTTTGCCACGATGTTGGGGGCCCCAGCGGGATCGCGGAGCTTTGGCCAGTGGCGTGCATGCTATTGGCTGTCGGCTGTGTGCTGTGACGAAGAAAGACGTGAAGACCCTGAACACGCTTGCGGCTTCTGCTCTCCGTTTTCGCATCGCCATGCATCGAATCGAACGTGATGCTGGGCACTGTGCAAGTACAGCCAAAGACGCTGCAACTCGCCGATAGCACAGAGGGATTTGCCCCCTATCACAATTGTTGGTCCGGTGTTGGCACGGTTGAATCGCCACGACAACCCTGATGTTTTAGCTTGACTTGCATGCTCCCTCCCTTGTGTGCCAGGCTTTCGCATTGGACTTGGAGCTCGACCAGGCTCATGTTCAAATGCATTCCATCAGCACGACAGGTATGGTCATGCGCTGGAAGGAAGAAACACAGTTCAAGCATGATTTCGTCCAAGCGAGGATATTGCTCCAGACCTGAGCAGATGGGAGTTGTCACAACCTCAGCCATTGCGAGTGCACATGGATAGCTGATCGTGAAGCTGCACTCACGATTGCAGGAAAGAGTGCACCATGTTATGCACACATGAAATACAAGCACTTGAATGAGGAGCTGTCTTGCTCTTCCCCAAATCAGGTTACACAAGAGCCAAACAGTGTAGGCAAGATAAGTCGGAAGTCCCATGAGCATGCTGACAGAGGCAGATGGATCTGGAGTCGCACATGTCGAGGCCCTTATATACGAGATCACAGATGCTTCCTGCTCGATATTCAGCTCCCCCAAATGACCCTGCATTGCACAGAGGAGTCGTGGTCGGCATTGTGGCATTCGATATGAGCGTTGCAGGTGCCATTCAGCCCGGAACCGACCCGACGGCCAACCTCTGATGCTACCCCTCACCTAAGGTCAGTCCCCCCCCTTGACCACCCTGGAAGAATGCCATGGGTCAAGTTGCGGATTCGTGTCATCGATTTCTGATCACAAATGGCTTTCTCTCTGCATGGCTCCACTGCCTCGGCCAAGCGTTGGACTCCGGACGAAGAGATGCCTGATGAAGCCTTTCCAAATTTCGGGAAGTGTCTCTGTCTCTCTGTCCTGGACTGCGGACGCAACTCCGGCCACTCATTTAAGGTCCTGGCCATCACAGAGCGAATCTCCCGACTTGAAGTCATGTCTTCTAGTTCCTCAATGTTTGTGGTATTACTGACTTCGATCCAGGCCATATCCGCCGCCACCCGTCGTTTTGTAGTTGAAACTCAAGACGCTTGCAAGCTGACACCAGCTGCCGTTGCTTTAAGCGAAGGCCTGCTGGTGATGTCGGTGTCAGTCTGCGTTGTTGCCCGAAAGCCTTTGACCGTGCTTGCACTCTGAGACATCGATGTATACTCAGTGTAGACAGGAAGAGTCGCCAAGGACAGTCTGCGTTTCCCCCGCCCGTCGCCTAAGAGATAGTAGGAAATGCATTCTTGGCAGTGATTGACCTGTGAGCGTGCGTCTGTCGTCGCGCACACGCATGTTGTGGCCAAGACGGCACACGCCGTTCGCATCCAACAGCATAAAGCCGGGGCTATGGAGAGAAGGCCAGTGCCCGGAGGGCTTGAATGCATACAACAGGCGAGAATTGGTTCCCTTCAGCAGCCGGTGATGCGCCTTTGTCATGAAACGAGGCTTGAGGGTCATGCAAGAGATCTGCAGCATGCACCGACCACGTGAGTGAGCAAGATTTGTTGGCGCCCAGGCTATCCAAAAAGGAGCGCTGGGGCGAGCCAGCCAGAAGCTGATGTTTTCACAGGGCAGTGCTTCGTAAGACTCGGAGCTCGAAGAATACGTGTTGCAATACTGTCCAGGAAATTTGTAGGTTCGTTCTTCCCGGACATTGGTTGACTTATGTTGACTTGCTCGAAGGTCCTGATGACCCTCGCGAAGATTTTTCCGGCAGCGCCGTGCTGAAACTGCACTGTGCGCCTGGCGGACGTGTTTGTATATTTCATATTTACATAAGCCGTCAACATGACGCTTGACGATTTTTGACGCACTTCGATGCTTTCTGGGATGCACAGCCACACTCAGGCCTGGCCTGCTCTGGTTCATGATCCAAAGAACTACCGGCAGGCGGCAGGACTTTCGACTTGACGCGCACCGCAGCGGATACACTGACAGTCTGACAGGTCATGGATCGGGATTGGTCCAGAGATGATGACAAGCTTGAGACATCGGAGGCAGCCCGTGAGCACCGGTTTGGACAGTCCTGCATTTGTGAGTCATTTGTGAGTTGAGCCGCGGTCTTCGGGATCTCCCAGCCTCGCTTCACGGAAATGGGTCATCAGCTGTTCCGGTGAGTACTTCTTCATACCATAGATTGCTCCACATACCTGGTGCATCACGGGTTTTTTCCCAGTTTCCAATGTTGCTGGCAGGACACTTTCTTTGAGGAGCATGCTGAGTGCCCGGGGGTGGGTTGTGTCACTTGTTGTGGTCACTTCCTTGTAGCACCGTATGCAGCTTGCATGCAACAACTCTGCAATTCGTGCCGTTTGCCAACCAGCTTCTTGCTTGAGTGCTTTGGTTCCTTGCCTTCGCGACACAGCGCTGCCGATCTGCACGCCTGCTTTCCTCGAGCGATTGCCGCCGGAATGCAAATTTTCGTGCCGGCCTCAAGCTGATGGTCCAGCATCCAGATGCTCTAAGGGTTGCCATGTAGCAAGCTCATTTGCAAGGAATCTGGTTTGCGCGGCATTCACGGTTCAGTCATGCTGCATTTTCTTTTACGCTTTTTCAAAAACCCTACCTGTCAACATTTTGGGTTTCCGCATTGTCGTATTGTTCTTAAAGTTTAAGGCTCTCTTCCTGACAGCTTCAGGTGAATATGCCAAGCGTCTCCCGCGAATTTCTCCACCCACAGTCGCAACGGCTAACTTTGCATTGCTGGTGCTGAGGTCAAGACTTTGACAGGAAAAACAATTACCTTGGACGTGGAAGCAAGCGACACAATCGACAATGTGAAGGCTGGACTGTAGCTGGTGCCTCGAGCAAGTTAGCTGAAAGAAGCGGTGACTCAATCCCCGAGGCAAAGATTCAGGACAAGGAAGGCCAAGCTGCCACGGTCGTTTCTCAAGCTGCCACTGCGGAAGCATCTCGGACGGATGTTTTTGGAGGTGCATTGTGCTTGCAGGCATCCCTCCTGACCAGCAGCGCCTGATCTTCGCTGGCAAGCAGCTCGAGGATGGGAGAACACTGTCTGGATCCCTGATCCCAGCTCTGCTGCCAACCATGATGCCCTAGATTGCGCGAGCAATGTAAATGTCCGACTTCGCGGAAGCCTCAAGTTTTTGCTCGAAAGTCGGGCTGACACGGAGTTGGGTCGATTCTGTCTTGCCCCGTGTTGTCGTTGGACTCGGCCTCTCGCCGGCCGTCGGCGAAACCTCAAACGACGAAAAGACGCCATGAGATAGTTCACCCTGACACGTCCAGGAAGGAGGCGACGCCTCCAAGCCCAAGTCGCTGAATTGGAGTGATCTGAAAAGCTGTTCATGAGCAGCAACACGTTTTTGGGACACATCTGTTGTTGATGCTCCCGACGGGGAATTTTTGCATCGCCGTGGAAGTGGCCCCCAACTCAAGGGCAGTTCGTGTCGCCACGGGGGGCCGGGCCAGACAGGCGAGGCATCAGCGCCGCGTGGCTCTAGCTTCCTAACCCACAGCATAGCTTTCGTGCCCAGAGTGTCATGCAGTCCTGAACGGAATCAGCCTTTGTTAATGGCCTGAGACCTCGACGAACCTTGAAGTGAGGTCTGATTACAACATTCAGAAGGAGTCGACTCTTCACCTCGTGCTTCGGCTTCGAGGAGGTCCCGCCCTGGCGGAATGTAGCTATATGCAACTAGTAACTACGGCCTCCGGGTAGTGAAAATGCCTTCTTGAAACTCTCTGGCAGGATGCTGCTGGTTCTTTTCCTTCCTCATCATCCTTACGCTCCTTGAATACATCATTCCTTTTCCGATTTCCACGGTTGCGTTTCAGAGACTGTCATGTGCGTGTAATTTCGACGTGTTGTCAAAGACGCTGTGCTCGAAGCTTTCATGGCACATGTTGACTTCCGACTGCTGGCTTACACTTTTGAAGACCGTAGGCCGTAGACATGCGCCACAGCAAAGGATCATTTCAATGATCTTTTTGATGCCATGCACTTGTGGAACCTCGGCATCTCGTCGGCAACATATTGGACAAACTGCTTCGCTGGAGCTCCGGGGGGATCCTTAGTTATTGCTTTGTTGACATGACTTGAAGCTGTTTTTTCGCCACCACTGCTGCCTTCCTGCAGCTTGTAACTCAAGGTCGTTGCAGAGGGGACAGCAGCCAGTTGTAAAGAGCATGTCCAAGAAGAAGGCCGTCGGCTTCGGTTGGTTGGCACAGAACGTGTCATGTCCAGGCATGTTTGATCCCGTTTCTGATTCCGCCCTTGTTGGCCCGCAGCTCAGCAAGAAAGAATCGCTGCCTGGCTTTGCTTGTCGCCATCTATCAACGTCTCAGGTCCTGCCCTGCTTCTGCTTATAGCGGCTGAGCGCAGCCGCTTGAGAGCTTTCCATAGCTTTCCAGGCTTGTTTGAGGGCAAAGCTGCGCGACACCAGGGGATGGTTTTGTCAAACAGGCAAGACCTTCTTAGTGGGACACGCGTGTCTCTCAAAGGACTCAGATGTTGCTGCTGTCTTGATTTTCCACGGAGGCCGAGCTTCAGTCTGAGATTCGCTTTGTACAGAGGAGATGCAGTCGGATTTTATTGTGAGGGCAATGCAAGCGGAAGCCAGCTTAGTGGGATTTCCTAATTTCCTAATCCCATTCTCAGCTGTCCTTGTCGTGGATGTCATTCCATGACAAGACTGTCTGTATTGCAGATGGTTACAACATTCATGGATGCTCGCAAAGGTACCTTCCCCAACTCGCCACTGAGACCGATCTGGAACGTTCCACGATGCTCTCAGGCACGATCATTACAGATCGTGCGTCACTAGGTTCCGTTAAAAGTTGCGGACTGCCGCCAGGTGTGGAAGCCGTGGTGGTTCTAGCTCGACACCATGCATGTGAGCAGTGTGGCGTACCCCGGCTAGCAAAGAGACCAGGCCAGCACAAGCCTGATTGTGGGGAAAAGTCGCCAGCTTGTTTGTTTCGTCAGGTTGCTGATAGAACCTTCGCAGCAGCTGCGAAGAAGGCCTGGGCTCGGCCTTGTCGCAGTGGACATCTTTGATGTGTGTTTCGCGTGTGTCTGGCAGACCGCCGGAGCGAAAGAGGCGCTGGGCATCGCTGGGCTGTGCCCGCCTGCATCCAGGCTGCTTCAGACCTTCAGGCTTCTGTGCTGCTCTTCGCCATGGACGTCAGAAGCCGCGCAGCTCGGCCGCTTGCACGCCGACTAGGCGCGCAAGCATGCGCAAGCTGTGAGTACAAAACCATGGGCCTATCGGTTTTCATCGAGATTGAACGCATCTTATCTTGTGAAGTGGGCTTTCAGGCATAAGCTTCCAAGGTTTGGTCTGTGTGTCCCAGTCGGGTTTCAGGTGGTCCGAGGCATCGAATGCCGCACATGTGACCATGTACCAGAATCGTCCAGAGCACAGGGTGCCGGCGATCAAATCCTTCACTGTGCAGCTGCGGCAACAGCAGTGTTGCGGACATTTGCTGACATCTCAACAAGAGGACAGTGAGTTTCCTGTAGAGCGAAGCCTGCCTGACTTACAGCCAAGCGCAAGGTCGTGCGAATTCGGAGCCAACGAGAATGTACTAGAGATCTCGATGCTGAGCGGGGCAATTGAGATGAGCCCGCGGATCTGTCTTTGGTGTTGGAGGTTCTGTGCATTGGCTCCTGCCGTGATAAGCTAAGGCTAAGGCAGTGTATGACAGTACTTGGCAGTGAAATGCTTTGCAGCGAGGCTTGTTTATTAGCGCGATGTCTTGGAGTAGCCTAGTCTGGCGAGGGTTACGCTGTCCGGAAGCTCCGCGCGAGTGCCGCTATCTGGCTTTCTCTCGATATGGAGGCGGGACGTGGTTTTGTTCTTTTTCGTCGCTCGGGTCCCGGGATCGAAGCTGCAGGCCTTGAGCCTGTGCTTCTTCGTGGACGGCACGATGAAGCATCCCAGATGCATTCACTCACAGCAAGGAGAGGAATCGCAAGGTATCCAGATGGCACTCAGAGGCAGCTCTGTCAAAAAGCTTGGAGCTCCTCTCCCGCAAGCAGCTCGACCCTGAGATGCCCTTCAGTCCAGCCTTGGTGAGGAAAGTGTCAATGGCACTTAGGTTCTTCGAGTTGACCGCCGAGCAAGCCTGGGAGAAGCAAGTTGCTTGACCCTCCGTGCTTGCGATGTCATGAGTGTTTTCAGATGCGTCTTGCGCGGTAGAATAAGGCTCCAACTCGGAGCCTCGTCATACTCCGTTCAGATGCTACAACCTGGGAGAGGCGTAGTTGGGGATCATTGTGCTAGTGGCGCAGTCCTTCAAGTGAACCGACTGTCACATCTGCAGGCAGGCTGTGCACCAGCAACGCATGAAGCAGCGACCCAAGGCTTGGTTCCTCCAGCTACCCTTTCTTCTTTCAGGTGCCGGAGCACGTCCTGCACAGGCGTAAACATTGTCTTTGAAGCACAGCTGTTCAAATCTCCTGAGCGATGAAGATGGCAAGACGGCAAGATTTGTGGCAATATTGTCATGGTTGGAACCTTTGAAAGGGTTTCTGCAAACCAACGGCCAACCTGCCTTTGTTTTGCTCCATGTCATCGGCAAGGGTCTCACACAGTCTGATGCGGTCCAAGTCTATTCACAAGTTGTGCTCGGACTCTGGCACGTGCCACCCGCTAGTCTGAATGAGAGGATTTTGGGATGGGAGTGCTCTCGCCCAGGCTTGACATTGGCATTCTGCAGGCTCGAGCGAAGGAACTTGGGGCTTGCTCATGTGAAGTGTTGTCGCGGCCGGGAGCTTTGCACGCAGCTTGTTGGTCTTCACCGCTGTCTTGCACCGTGTCAGTTGAGTGTCCTTGGTCAGAGGCTTCTGCGGACAGCGACTTCCGTGCGCATGCTCTAGCCTTCCGCCCCGGCGAGGTGACACTTCTCCCGACGCGCCGCAACTTCAACGAAACGTCTCTTCAGGACCAGCCACGACACTTCCATGAGGGCTCTGCTGAGGAGTTTCGCTCGCTGCGTTCCCAGACGCTGCCAATGCATGGCCCTTCCTGCGTTGTACTCGTGCAAGTCGCTGGGGCTGCTTCTTTGAAAATATTAGTACAGTTGTCCGGTCCCTTTGACATTCATGCCAAGGTGGCTTCTGAATGTGTCAGTCCCCTGCTTGGCGCAGCACTAAATTCGTGGCAGCAGGCAGCCAGGTAGCTTGCCCCATTTGCAAGTTGGATGAAGGACATCCGCTTAGTCGATGTATGTCAGATGGGCAACTCCTCTTATCCGCACCCACCCGCTTCTCTGAGGGTGATGTCCGCGAGTTCGCAGACGAGGAACCGTATGAGGTGCAATAGAGGGAGCACTGTGGGGTGTCTGAGTTACCAATAGTGAAACTCGAGACTCCGGCCGTATGGGCTGCTTGACAGGACCTCGGCTTGCCCATCGCAAAGCTCTTCCTGAAGGGAGGAAAGTTGGATACCGCCGCGCGCAGCGTCTGGAACTTAAACTTCCCTGGAACCTATGCCGAAGTACCTAGACGAGACGGGATCTCAGAAGCAGGCTCCGACGGCTCCGACTAGATTGTTTACAGAGAAGCAGAAGTCAAGTCCTTCATATGCGTAAGTAAAGCTGTGTCTTCCTGTTGGAGTGGCACGAGAAGCGTGCACCGAGGCCATGTTTCAGCTGTGCAGCCGCTTCTTTGGCCGAATGGCATTTACCGTCCGGAATGCTTCTCTGGGCGGGGCGCCAAGGGCTCCATGCAGAGCACGCAGTCACTCCTTCGACTTCAATGCGCGTGTCCATGCACGAGGGTCATCAGATTGGCGACAGCACGGGATACCACCAGGCCAAGCCAGGCTTTCAAATCTGGCACTCAGTTTCTGAGCCCTGTTTGTTCGTTCCGCGCCGGGAGTCGAAATTCAATTAGTGCTAGTGCTACCAGTAGTAACCTCGATGCAGATATGTGCAGACCTTATGTTCGCTGGGGCGATGCTTGTTTACCTCTCGATACTGGGACGAGGGGCTCGTACTCTTTGTTGGACTTGACCAGAGTACAAGGGGGAGTGGTCCTGGGTTCGTGGGGGAAGGTACTCCTAGAGGTATTTTTGGTTTTGAGCAAAGTAATGAGGGCACGGTTGGCTTGCGGTCCTTGATTTGGGCGGTGTACAACCTGGGGGGGGGGCGGGCCTCGTAGTCTTGGATTTGACCACAGCAAATAAAAGGCGGGGTGGCTTGTAGTCCGGTTTTTGATTTGGGTAAAGCCTTGTGCTCTTGGATTTGACGAGGGGTTGATGTTCAAATCCAAAGTACGAGCCACCCCCTTGTACTCTGCCCAAATTATTCAGGACTACAGGAAGTTGGGCTCGTACTCTACGATTCGAGCAGGGTGCACGGGGGAAGTCTCGTAATTATGAAACCCATGGAGCATAGGCTCCCCTGCTACAACCCCTCCGATCATCTGCTCGCAACCCCCCTCCCCTCTAAACTGCCCGCACTTCTACTGTGCTTCAATCATCTTCAATCGGGGCCCTCCCCTCGCGCTCCGCGGATTTTGAGAATTATGAAGGCAGGGGTCCTATGCAAGACGTGGGAAAGCCCTCGTGCTTTCCCAGTCCTGTTGCATCCTCCAAAAGCCATGCATTTAAGCGTGGTGCTTTTTCGGGATGCAGGTCGCTTTCCTGCGTTCGCAGTGGCCATGAGCACCGCGTACAACACCCCCAGGCTAGTTGAAGCAAGCAGCCTCAGAGACACGGTTGAAATTATTGAAATTCTAGTGCGAGATTCTACAGTGCAGGTTCGGCTTCTTGGGCATTCCCAAGAATCAAACCGAGGAAGCCACGCCTGTCACCAAAGCATGTCTGTCAAAGATGATCAGTGCCCGAGGAGTTTTGGATGAGTCCAGCACGCCAACTCCTGATCGATTTTGTCGAGGTTACTGGTGCCAAAGCAGATAGTCCGGGTGCCATGCCGTGTAGTATGCCAGCAGGCGGCATGGTGGGGCTGTGCAGTCGTTGCTGCTCAAGCGAGCTCCGTTGCGAGGGTGGAGATCATCTCGAGTTGATCCCTCCAGTCCTCGAGCCCTCGCCAAGTAGATTTGTATTAGTGCTACCCGGCCCTGCAATGGTTCGAATCCCAGCACGATTCTGCAAACAGGGGATGGGATGTCGTTCGTGAGCTGATCGCTAATCTCGGGTCTGAGGTCGCCGATGCTCTTCCCAATCCTTTGATGCCGCCCCGTGCTCCTTGTAGCCAGCCACTGAAGACCCCGCCAGAGAGCGAAGATCTTCATGGCTTCATGCTCCCTCCACCTGCAATTGAATCATATGATGATATCTTGAACGTCGACTTCGTGATTCCGCGCTGCACTGTCGATTCCTGGCATGGCTTGGATTCGTTTCTTGTTCTGTGGCAGAGAGACTGACTTGCGCTTTGTACTGCGCTTACCAAGGAGGCCTCGCCCATCGGCCTGGGCTTCCCCTGGAACGAAGATTGCAACGCAGGTGGCCCTCCAGCGCTCCTGTTCAACATGAAGTAGACACATGATTCACATGATGACACTCGAAACTGTGAGCCCTCACAGGAGCGCAAGGATGGCTGACATAGGGGAGCTTTATGTGCATGAGCGTCATGCATCGGGCGAGACTATCCCAGCAAATGCAAGACAAGAGTCCCAGCTTGCCCGATGTCACGCACAGTGCCTTGTCTCTCTGCACTCGGGCATTTGCGTAGCCCAAAAATTTCTTGCTGTGTCGGAGAATCGTTTCTGTAAGGCTTGGAAGACAGACAGTCGCAGCGGTCTGACCATTTCGATAAAGACAACGTGGCATGTTGAATCTGCAGAACAGCAGCATGGGGTATGGATGTACTACGGCGTTTGAAAACGCGGATGCCAAATCCTAAAGGCAACTCAACCCTCGACGCTGATCCCCGTGTGGATACACAGGGCCAGGAATGAGTGCAACACGGCTTGGAAGAGCAGGCCAGTGAAATTCCCCCCACACCGAGAAACGGTTCTGGCGCCATGATGCCACCAGCCAACGTGCATCAAGCACTGTGCACGAAGCCCAAGACTAAACTAAACTGAAGAGAAGAAGACTGGTCATTGCCCTTACAACTGGTTCCACCACTACTGGCCAGCGCGATCGCTTACATGCCTACCAAAGGCCGCGAGTTGTGTTTGTATACAATGTTAAACTGCCTTGCTATCGGCATAAGTGAGTGGGTTCCGTGAAAGGTTGTTTTTTTGTTTTTGCTGATGGGAAGGGATGGTCTGACAAAAAGACGCGACCAATCCACCGCGATGCGCGCAGAGTCCAGAATTTCCTGTATTGCAGAACAGTAGTATTTTGGGACAGCGGCTGCCCATGTAGCCCACGGGCAAGGCTGCCGTTGGACGTCGCACGCTGCCGCAGTCGCCATTAAAGCAGCAATTGCAAGAGTCGTTTTCTTGGGTTGTGGCTCCTTGACCTACCTCAGCTGACAGTACCAACTAATCGTCGCACTGATCGATGGGGTGCCAGGTGCTCCGAAAATGGGCGCGCTGCTGTTCCAGGCAATGAAGGCCTGGCGCGGCATGCCTGCAGGATAACAAGAGAATCAGCAAAGAACAAATTCTGCCTCAGCCATCGTGACCGAACTTCCCGACACATCTACCTTGGGGTGAGTCATGGAAACCTGTCCTTAAACCCTAGAGTGCCCACGACCGCGATGTTTGTTTGTACGAGCACCGCTCCCTCTTCATGCACCTGTGCTCGACGACAGGTTAACATCTTTGAATTGCAGCCAGATCAGCCGAAACACGAGCAACACAGCATGCGCAGCAACACACCGTGCGAATGCAAAAAACCATAGTATGGTGCTCTCTGACATCCACTGCAAAGATCAACGAACTCAGACAGTGTTTTGCAGTAAGATAGCGCAAGGTCGTCTGGTAGAGAGCACGCAGCTCTGATAATCGTTCAGACACGAGACCCAAATGGTGTGTTCGCATTAGGGGGGTACCTTGATAATTCCAAATCACTCTACACGATGATCTGTTGAATAGGCCCGTCTGCACGGTCAACTCACATCGAATGCATGAATCATGATGGCTGCATGTGGTCACCGTAGAATGCTTTGCATCATGGGGCTTCAAAGGAAGCAGCATCAACATGCGCAGCAATGCGTTGAACATGCTGAAGCTTCAAGTAGTGCATGGTTCAACTGGATTGTACGTTGGAATTCCTTGTGAGGCTTTGATTCCCAACGATGGTGAGGCGCCAGTGTTGTGAAGCAAGTCAGCCCTGGGTTTGCTTGGTCTTGGCTTGCACAGGTTTCCAGACAGGACCTTCCAAAGGAAGTGACCTGCCTGCCACCGAAAGCGCCGCAACTTGCCTGAAGGATCAATTTCGCGCATGGTACCCATCCTCCGTTTCCGAATGTTGAATATGGTAATGCAGAGCAGGGCACGCAAGCAGAAACTTCCCTTGTTTCAGGGGTAGAAGAGAAGGGTCCTTTTTTGCATCTTCTTGCATACGGGCTTTGGCAGCGACGGCTAGATGCAGGCGACTAGGACTAGGATTGGGAAGAGTGCGGCGAGCAGAGCAGATGGCTTGCAGAGGCTTCTGCGGCCTGCAGTACAGTCGACGTTGGACATTAATGAGGCGCGCTTTGTTAAAGATGCTACGGCGCTTGATGAGAAAAGATGTGTCGCGTCGAACCCTTCACAGCGAGCGACTGGCTCTGCAGATCACAGCAGGTGACTTGAAGCAGCTTGAAGTGAAGAGCCAAACACGCTGACAGACGAGTGTCAACCACACTCAAGAACGACTCCGACATGTGACGGAACTACAATGCGCAAAGGAAGGAACACAGCAGCCATAGCGAAGAGCCGAAGAAGATCTCACATCCTGTACCATCGACAAATGGGGATCGGAAGCATGAAGAGACACGGAAGGAAGTCGAGCGTCACAGGACTCCAATGCATTGATGCAAAAATTGCTAGATTCAAACTTCTGTCTCCCAAGATTCACGAGTGTTGCTCCGCTGCAGATTCCAGATCTGGTCTTGCCGGACGCAGCGGACAGTGTGCTCTGATTTTGACATGCTCTGACCCTGTCAAACCGCTGCCATCACACCATTCTGCGGACGCAAGTTTCAGGATGTCGACATCTTTGACGAGCTTGAGGAGATCCGCCCAAAATTCAGTGTGAAGGCTTCAATGCGTGTTGAGTGCCATGTTTTTGTGCAGATCGTCTGCCTGTGAAACAAAGTTGTGGCAGGCCAAAGGCATTCAGACGAGCTTGGAAAAGGCATTGTACCATCTCGCATTACCTACTGAGCCTGGTGCAGTACCACATGACGTTTGCACGCCTCGATCTCAGCCGCAGGTGCATCAAAACACTTGCAAGAGCATCTTGAGCGCGCTTGAATCTGAAGAAGCAGGACAGAAAGGTCACTTGTTTAAATTACTTGAATGCGTGCGATCGAGCCTGCACCTTGCGAGTCATGTGTCTGCAGCCGTGGCTCGGGCTAGGTGCCCAGGCCAGCTCGAGGGGCTAAGCGCTCGGCCAGTGAACGTACGAGAACGGGGGGCACCAGCTGAGTTGCGTACCGTAAACTACCGCAAAGTTGAGTTCAGCCTTAGCCACCCATCATGCCACTGTAGTGCATGCACGATACAGACGATACATTTTCTGAGTTATGTGACGTTCAGGTTCACGACTGCGCCAGTGCCAATTTAGCAGAACTTGTGCGAAATTGACACAGAACAAGGCTCCCAACCTTCAGAACCCAGCTCGAGATCTGCTCACAAGCAACGCCTACAGATCCTAAAGCCTCCATGAATCTGACCTTCGTGTCACCCTCGCAGTCGCCTGCTATTAATGCCCAGTGACGGAGAATTGTACTGACCCGGGCACCTCTGTCTCGGTTGGAGCAGAACACTGAGGCTTTGTGGAGCTGTCCGAGAGGTGCAGAGCTCAACTCAGGGCCTTCAGCACATGCCAACCCGTGCAAGAACAGGTGGAGTGCTGTCGCCGCTGATGGCCGTCGCCGCGCGTCCACTTGCTCGACAGTGGCATCCATGATGGACTTGGAGCACCAGCGCAGGGAAGCTTGGTACAGAGAACTGATGCGTTGGACTGCCTGCCTACTACCTCAAGCCCAGTCTGCAAGAGCAGTTCCAGGAATCTTCGCCAATGGGCAAGCTCAGCCACTCTGGGTACGGGTTTACAAGTCGGATGCTTATGAGAGCTTGACCTGCTGCACAGCCAATGCTCTGGGTACAGGTTTGGGAGGGGCAGTTGCGGGCAAGTAGGATTGAGTGGTGCGGGAATTCTCCTGCTTTTACAGCGGCTAAGCTCTTTTTGGTGCAGCTGCATGTTTGTGGGTTGGGTAGTTGTCTTGCGTAGCTTGCGCAGCAGGCCCTGGACCTTGGATAGCAACTGAAGATGACGTTTACTTTGTAGTACGACTCTGCCGCAGTCTAATGCTCGTGCTGCATCACTCAGTGGAAAGGCCGTGAAACTGCTTTAGTGATGCTTTCTTCCGACATGCAGAACCACGTGACCGACGTGACTGTTACTTTGCATGCTCAGGCCCCGTGTCGCTGTGATGACGGCGAATGGATTGTACAGGCAGGCAGGGTACCAGTCATTGCATGTTAAACGGCCAATGAAGATTGTTGAGTCTAGTCTGTGCAGGCGGTGCTGTGATGACTGCGGTGCACCGCAAGGTTGAGGCAGCCGTGACATATGCCGACCTCTGGTCTCTTCCAGTCAAGAGTCGTAAGCCGCATGCGCCACCAAGTCTTTAAACAGTGGCCTGTTTTGTTTCCGCCTCCAAGCCGCGGACATTTCTGGACGGAATCTCGCTCACCTGCAAACAGTTTCAATTGACGAACGTGGCAATGTGCACGCATCAAGGGGCAGTTTGTTCAGGATGAGCAGATTCTGGCTAGGATGCTGTTTGCTCCATACGAGCCTTTTTTCCCAGTGTAGTAGGTGGGATTTGATAGCGCAATCAATGAACCGATCACCTGACACAAGGCACATGGTACAGGATGCACCGCTGTAGTAGTTGAGGAAGTTGCAGATCGCGAAGGCAGCTCAAGGCGTAGGCACCCTCGCCTCCATGATGGTTGCCTCCCGCCTTTGTCGCTTGATGGCAGGGCGGCACACCCGTTCATATCGGATGTATGGAGGCACATTCAGAACGATTTCAAAAGGGGTCCGTGTGGGCGCGAAATTAGTGTTTCGTTGTTTGGTGGGACTACATGCCGGACTTGCAGAATTTGACCTGTGTTTTTATACAAAAAGAAGCGGTATAGTGCATCCTAAGTCCTACGTTGTGGTACGGTGCAGGGTGCTGGTTTCGGGGAACTAGGCGCTTTGTGCTGCATGCGCCGCCGTGCCTCGCGGTTGGGTTTGGACTTGCCTGGCTAGTGGTTGCGAGCGCACGCCGTGGCACCAGAAGGAGTGCAAAATTCCGAGCCACAGATGGAGTTGCAAGTCAGGGTCCAACCCGACAAAGAGTCGGAAGAAAGCCCGCACCAGCAAAGAACAGGTGAGCCTCGACCAGCACGGGCTTGTCCAAAGCCCTAGCGATAAACTTGTGGACGAAATAGAGCCGCACGGTCGAAACTTGAAAGCTCTGAAAGGTACCGGTAATGCAAAGAAGCACCGAACCCCACAAGAAGTGAAGGAATAAGATCACTGCACAGGATCCGAAAAAACATGTTCAACGTGACAGTGCAGAAAAAGCAAAGGCTGGCAACACACGTTCTGCATGAAAGATCTCTCAGATGCGCAGGCTCGCCTACGAGTAGCGAGTGCCAGAAAGAGACGAACCTGACCCAAAAAGAGTGGCAAACCGTTCTGCGAGCCGCAAGGGAAAGGACAGATATGGGCAGATCCCGATTGCATCACTAGGACGGTGACAGGAATTGCCTACATGAAGGCAGGCCGTGAGCCCTAAAAGGAGTCGCAAACGAGTTGAAGAGGTGGACCGAAAGAAGCTAAATAGGCAGGCACAAATTACATGAGTCCCAATGACTAGAAACTGTTCCATACGGTGCAGATACATGTGTGCCTTTGTGCAGTGAATGCCTTAATTCAGACCGATCGCAAGTTGTGGGTCTGGAGTGCTGGTGTTGGTAGCGAAGACGCCAGTAGCTAGGCACCATGTCAGGCGTTCAATCGTGCGGGGACTGTACCGCAAAACGAAGTCCCCAAGACCTAATCTGCACCCTTAGTCCTTGGGCAGTGGGCAGTCTTTGATTGAATCCCTGCGTTTGGACATCTTCCTGAATTCGGTACATGGAAATGCTATGGGTGTGCTGGCGCCATTTTCCTCGCTGCAAAGGCTATCGCCATGTTACCTGCAAGGTCGTCAGTGGCAACAAGTGCAGTGTCTTTGCGCCGAAGATATCTAGCATGTGCGTCGATGTGCCCAGAAAGCAATATTGACAGACTTTGGGAAGAGAAGCAGTTTTTATTGCAAAGATATAGCAGAATCAGCACAGCATATGCAGTTGAAAGCACGCAGTAGGTGGAGCTGAGCAGACCTTTGTGAATAATTTTGTCGGCGCATGAACAGATTCGACGCATGAGGGGTGCACGTTTCCTCGATTGTGGCTGCTGAGTGATGTAAGTCGGCCAGGGCTGGATGCCAAACATTCAGCTACAGACTACATTGTTTGGATTAAGGCATGAATCGTTCTCAGGAACAGCCATCCAGCAGGTGCCGCATTTTTAGCACGTCATTTGCTGCTTGATGAATCGTTGTTTGAACCTTGAACTCCAAGTGGTACGTGACGCGGAACACTGCAGAACACTGCGGAGCATTGACTGCTTCCACTGTGCTTGTACAGTCTTTGCCCAAAGACTCGGGCAGTCCGGCGGCCCGGTATTCTTGGGTGCGGTCCAAACCGATGCAAGTCAGCGCAGCGAGGGGAATCTCTGATGGAAGTGTCCTGGACTCTGGATTTGTACATGGTCTGGAGGCTGTCCTGCGCGATGGTGTGCTTCCGCCCTGGCCCAGTCTTATAAACACACGCACACACTAGGCACGACACGGTTTGCACTCTGTGTCGTCAATCGTTGCTTGTAGGCACTGCTAGCGCTGGATGTTTCATCCACCTCATGAATCGACAGTCTTCAACTCAGGTCAAGAATGAGCGAAGCCCCCCCGGATGAGGAGGACGAGGACTCGAACACAGTTTCACACTCTTCCTTGATATCTGCAGCCAGTATTGCATAAGTGTTGGGCAAACGTATAAGGGCGTCACGAGGAGCTGTGAATATACAGAGCTAAAAGACGCATCTAGCCTATCACCCCTTCCAGATTTCAAAACACGGCCAGTCTGAAGAGCCTCTTCCAATTGGCGACTACGCTCTTCGATTTTGTGCTCGGTGACGGTGCTGACAACATCGAAAGAACTCCAAACGTTTTGCCGGCACATACAAGCAGATGCCTTTGGATGACCGTCTGAGGAGCCGCCGCCACCTGGATCTGTTCAAAAGTATGGCGCCCAAAACATCCGGCTCCTGCTGCGTGCAGCATGGCTAAGACTGCAAGCCGTGAAGCTGCGAAACTCTAAGTGCAGAGTGGTGTATTACACAGTGAAGTGCGCAAGGCTCGTCGGGAGACGCTGCCGGCAGGTGGTGGAGGAACGTTGCTTGTGGAGCCTGCTGCAGACGAGTGGAGCGTGATACTTAGGATATAACGCGTATTCTGAGTACTACGTTGTATAGTTTGTGCTGGTAGCCCCTTTGGCACAAGGTGAAGCAAAGCCGTGCGTGCGCGGTTTGAGGGTTAACCTAAACCCTTGCATGGTAGCGGAGCCAGGGTATCCCAAGTGGACCTAAGCTCATCCTCTAGCCGCCCCCTCCGCAGAGGAAGAGGATGACCCACAGACCTTGAGGGGGAGCCTGCTAGTGGAGGGGGTACCTGGCTTAGGATGAGCCGACGTTGGTCCCCGAACCCTGCACTTGGTCCCCGACTCGCATCCTGCCAGTGGAGTGGGGCCCCTTTGGGAGACTGGCGAGAGGAAACTGTCTACTGCTGGCTACAAGAGGCAAGGGAGGAGGCCAAGGTCTTCCGGAGAGCGCATGGCTACCACAGTGACGACTTGACCTGGATGTCGCTAATGTCATCAGTGAAAATGGCCGTGACCCGGTCTACGCCCCCAGGCGGAGGACGGGCTACCAATGCTACCGAGGACTCCTCATGTCTTTGAGGAGCAGTTAAAGTGGCCGCTGGAAAATGCCCCCTGGGAGGCCTCGCTAGCGTGGGTCCCCAACTACAGCTCTGTCGAGCTAAGTTCGAGGAGGACGTGAAGGAGGGTTTCATGGCTAAGATGTCTCTGGGCGAGTTCCTCGAACGCTATGGCGAGCACCCCGCTATTGCGGCGCTAGCGGTGGTGGACGAGGCGCTAGACAAGAAGCGCCTCATCCACGACACTACCCATGGTGTGCGGGTTAACCACCGGATTAAATGCCGGGATAAGCTAAGGTCCCCGGGCGCTAGAGAGAAGAAGCACCTGAGGAGGAGGGTGAGAGGTGGCTTTCTCCGTGGTGGGCGACATCGCTAAGGCCCACCGCCGCTACAAGCACGCTGCCAAGGAACACGGCAACCTCGGCTGCCAGGTGGACGAGGAACAAGAGATCCTTGGCGATCCCGCTACCCAAACCGTCTACGTGAACTTTTGTTGGAACTTTCGGGCTATCTTGTGCTAGCTACTGGTGGACCCGGATTGCGGCCTGCGGGCTGAGCACTTGTTGGGCCCCGACTTCCCGCTAGAGATGCTCCTCTACGCAGACGATCTCGAGTCCATGGGGAGAGGTGCTAAGGGACGACGGGGTACCCGTTCAAGCGGGCTAAGACGCGGTGGCTTCCGAGTGGAGTGGCTAGGTATGGAGACCGAGTACCCCACCTACAAGCTTGGACTCTCCCTGAAGCACACTACTTGGTGGGTCGAGTGGCTCCGCTTGCTAGCCGGAACTGGGAGGACCGAGGTTGGGTCCTTTGCCCAGGGGCTAGGGAGACTCGGATTTGCCTCCCGCGGTCCAAGTATGTGGATGGTTGGCGGACCGTCTGGAAGGAGGAGGGAGGCTACAAAAGCCCGAGCCGCTACTGGAGAGAGCGGCCCCGCTGAGCTTCTTCACTCACGGACGCTAAGGCAGAGGGTGGCCGCGCATGGATTGGTGGCTTCCTCGAGCTAGTGGATGGATGTCAGGGCTCATGGTTTTTGCTGGAAGTGGTGGATAGCTGGGCCCATGGGCCTTTGCTAAAGGCGACCCTGGCAAGGTCATCTCCGCTGGGTTCCCGACGGGGACGCTGAGAAGACGTCCCGGGTCGTATTCGCGGCCCGCGGCTACACCGACAACCAGTCGAACGAACCCTGCTACGGAAGGCCATGACCACCAAGTTCCCATCCACGCTAATCCTCATGGAGCTCGCTGAGGAGCTGTCAGCGAAGAGCTGTGAGCTCCAGCTACAGTGGATCAGAAGGGACCTGAACCAGCTAGCAGACGACCTCACGAACCAGAATTTCGCTAGCTTCGACCCGAACTTCAGGATTGACCTGAAAGGGGAAGTGCTAGAGTGGTGGTTGCTGGGTCGCCTCCTAGCTCATGCGACCAGCTACTTTGAGAGGTTGGGCACGGCTAGGAGGACCGATAGAGCACCGGCTAAGAGGTTCGCTAAGCGAGCCCGCAAGCTAGGTCCATGGTAGCCTTTCGGCTTCGCAAGGAGATTGGCTAGCCCTGAATGCGGTTTCAGGCTAGAGACTTTCTCCGGGCGGCAGGGAACCTTCGCCACACCGCTAAAAAGAGTGAGTGTCTGCTTGACCTGTAGGTCGTGTGCTAAAGCCACAGCTTTGCTGCTACGAACCCCAGGCGGTGACTTGGGGTGGTGGCGGGATTGGAAGTGCTAGCTAGTGTACCACGTTGTATAGTTTGCACGGGTAGCCCTTTTGGCACAAGGTGAAGCAAAAAGAGGTTAGCCTGTGCCGTGTTGAAGGTTGTTTTAAACCTTGCACTTCAACATCGGCGCGTTTACTGATCGCTGGTATAGCTCCTAACAACAAAGTTGCTACAAGGAGCAGTGCACTGCTAGGACAGCAGCTCCGAAGTCCTCATTGAGGCCTTCCTGTCCTCTTGTAACCAATGCGAATCGTCCATGATCACAGCAACTGGCAGTCTCGTGGGGATCATATCGTCATGTCACATTCTATGTTGCATCCTGCATAGTTTGTCAAAGTAGCTTCGGTTCTGGGTTCTCCACTCGGGCCGCGCCGGGGTCTTGGCTTCCTGGAATTTCCTTTCATGCGGTTTTTGGGTCCGATCATGTTTCACCACTAATTTGTCCCATGGCTCCTTATGCTCCTTTCCTGGTTCGGATGGGTGGGACGTTGAGCTCGCTGGTTTTCGCTTCTTTCACGACCTCGGCTCTGGGTGGGATGGCATGGCCCTTTCGTTTCAATTGCGCTTTAGTCAGGGCGACGGTTTCGTTCCGGCAGTTTTGCAGTCAAGTCTGTCTGTGCTCTGGGTTTCCCATTTGATCTTGTCTTGCTCGACGCAGCTGCTTGCACCGGGTATCGGCCTACGTTAGGGTTTGGGTTCTGGCTTCGATTTTTATGTCTTGGATTGAAATTCATGCCGCTGTTTTGAAGCAGCTGCTTCCCCAGCTTCTGAGCATGCATGGTGATGGCCACTTTGGCGTGTCGAAATTGTTGTGCCTCTTGGGGATGTGTGTACGTATGTATATGTGTGTTTGCATGTTGGTCTCTCTATTCTCTCTGTGTGTTTGTACAGTTGATCAGTTCGCTTCAGTGCACCCGACCTGAAATGGAAAACGCAGTCGGGAAACCAGGCGGGCCCTTTCAGAAACGTGATTCAGAAAACAATATCGGACACGCCCATGACGGATTCACAAAACAACGCACAATCATGCTCCCGCTGCTGCTGTTGTTGTTGCTGCTGCTTCTTTCGCTGGTGAGGCTGATCTTCCTGCTGCACTGCCTCACACAGGAAAGCAGAGCCGGCAGAGCCCTGCGGAACCACTATGGTGTTTGAGCCCAACATTTCCTTCAAACGCCGAGGGTTTCCGACAACTTACAACTTCTTCTTCTTCTTCTAAGGTAAAGGGCTTGCCAACCAGCATCTTCTTCTTTTGGGGTTGGGCCGCCACCCACAAGCTTCGCTTGTTGTCCTCAATTGCTCCCGACGTTGTGCGAATCTTCGCGTTTGACGAATCATCATTATCCCGTGTTTTCGGAAACTGTTTTCCTGAATTTCGTTGGTTCTCCGAATCGGTTCCTCTGAGTCTTCGAGTTTGGTTTCCAGATCAGTCCATATCCGGGCTTGCACTCCTGCAAGCAGGGATTCGATGAGTGGCGGCGAGATCATGCTGACCGCAGTCGTCGCTTGGATCTTCTCGCGCGGGAATCCCGGATGTTCTGCCGAAGCACCTCTGTTGTGAGCTTTGCTTTCCTCGCGGCTCACAGCACAGCATACAAATGTGTCATCGTCTGCATTGATGATACTGGTGATGATGTCGATGATGATGCTGATGATGATGATGATGATGATGTTGACGATGATGGTGACAGTGATTGTGATGTTAAATGGTTATGTTTGTGTTCGATGATGATGGCGTGGACCGGTGCGGATGCCACGAATGAAGGTGGAGGGTGGACTCGTTTAGCTGGTCGAGGTATTCAAAGTTCATGATTTGTGTATGCGTCTGGTCCCGACCTGCAAGGCCACTGCTGATGTCGCACAACATCAGTGTTTGCTGCTCAGTTTGTCGACGAATCTTGTTCGGCAGAGAACATGTCTATCGGCCCCGAATTTTTTCTGTCTGTGTCACGAACGACCCTGTGTATCTGGAACAAGGCTGCAGCGTTGCGTGGCGTTAGACTTTCTGAAGCAGAAAATTGCGTCCCGAATGTGTCAGTAGAGGAGTGTCGCATGCAGCGCGCCTTGGAGCGTCGCTTCATGACGCATCCGAGCTTGTCAGTTTGCCGAAGGGGTTTAGCCGAAGGCGATTGGTGTGGGCGGAGTAATTAGTTCAAATCATTCACACCTGTGATCTCCTCGCATGCTGCCAGACGAGCATGATGCACGGCATCTCTGTCGATTTTGACAAAGCTAGCGGCAAGCGTGTGACCAGCTGCGAGCGTTTAGGATTGGTGGACCGATGATGCCTCGCTTGATGATTGCAAGTCAGGTGTACAGGCTTGACTTTGGACAGAACGAGGCTACGAGGGTGGAAGTCTGCAGAGAAAGTGGCACAGTTGATGCCACGCCACTATCTGACTTTCTTGGCACTGGTGGTCGCAATCAATCGGGCCCTGTGCAGTGTCCGCCGGATGTCCTTCGAAGTATCTCTGCGGGCTACTCCGGCTACTTCTTCGTCCATCCCCATGCCAGGCCATGCTGTTGGGATGACCGCTTATCTGCTCCCGCTTTTTTCGAGCTGTGATCAGGTTCTGCCACGCCGCCCTCAAGCAAAGCAAGGAAGGTTTAGCACAGGACTTCTCCAATCCACACTGAAGTAAAGGCTGCCCCCAGATTCAGATCCCACCATATCAAGAGCTCCTTCAAACCTTCACAGCATCTATTGGCACAACTCGGGCTGGCTCCTCCGCGGCTGCGCTGCGTCCTAAGATGGCCCAGCGAGCCGAAAACGAAGGCCACGAGGCCTGACGTGACATTGACATTGATATCGCTCTAAGCTTAGACTCAGTGGTCTCGTCGTTCGGAGGGAATAAAAAGGAGAAAGTTGACGGAATGCTTGAGATGTGCTGGTGGCAGTCGATGTTTGCAACGAAGGCGAGCTTGCTCGTTTGCATGCTGACCTTGTATGGGACATGTAGTCTGGCCGTCGGATTTGCTGGCCAGTGCCTCGAAACGAGAAAACAGGCCCGAAAGGCCAGGACCATGCTGAACTGGAGGCTTTGACTCGCCGCCTCCAAGACGTCGCTGTCTCTGCTGCGCAAGCGGAAACTCCTCTTCCCGACTGAGCTAAGAAGCGAACGAAAAGATTGAGCTTCTCTCTGTAGGCCGATCCTCCAACGCCTGAAGAGGCCCGGTGGCCTGAGGGCAGGTCGAGTGCGATTTCCGTGTCTTCCATTGTCCTCCATCCCGGTCCATCCTGGATAACCGCCGAGTGATGCTGCAGTGTTGCTGGAGTTGTGCCGACATAAACTTCGATTTGTGTGTCTGCGCGCATTTGCAAACGTTCTAATGATGCAGCTGCGGCAAGGAGGTGGAGCAAGTCGATGTTGTTGTGCGTGGGGTGCATGGAGAACAGGCGCCCCTCCCGCAATGTCACATCTTGCAGAGGTGTGACCTGTTCCTCGCACTGTATGGCGAGTTTTGGGCGAACATGCGAGCCCAGAGCCGTGACAGGTGGCCCTGCTGCAGCTCCCAGCTGCGAAGGCGACCATCATGGATGCCAAGGACAGGACCGGAGCTTGGCAGAAGACTTTGGGACTGCGATGCTGTCAGCGAACCTAAGCAATGACAACCGGGCACATGCAAGGGAGTACCAGTAGACATCTCGACACACGAGAAAACCTACTAAGACGACGCCTGCCATGCACATCCAGAGTTGTTTGTCACTTCTGCTTGTGCCAGATTGCTCTGAGCTCTCTGCTGCTGGTGCCTCTCTATACGTGGCTCGATCTTTATGAGTTTATGCGAGTGCTGCTTTTCCGGCGTGTCGATTTTGGTTGCAGAGTTTTGCCGAGGCAGCAGCTGTTGCTATCATGCAGCGAAGATGTGCCGGGAGACCACGAAGAGCTTGCCTTTCTGAAAGGCCATGCGTAAGGCAAAACACAGAAGCTGATTCGGGCAGTTGAGCATGCACTGGTTGGCAGCAGGAGGGCACCACCAGAGAGGGAGAGAGAGAAAGAGTCCAACCTCTTTTTGCGAATTCAGTTTGCCATGGGAAAGCTCTTCTCCATCCCGTCTTTTCTCCTCCGACTTCGAGTGGCCCTTTCGCTGACTTAGTTTGGTTGAACTCTTCAAGTGTGTCGGGCAGACAGCACACTTGCCCGCCTCAGCATGGGTCGGAAGCCCGAGCGTCCGCCTGGAGATGGCGCTTGCACACCATCCGCATGCGTGGTATGTATTGCACTTGCGTCGTCTTGCAGCAGGTGCATACGCGCATGTATGTAGGCCTTCCGCGTGATTCTGGTAACGGAGAGGCCTAACCTACTTAGCCCCCGACACTGCTCAGTGCGCATCATGCAAGATCTCCGAGCCTTTCTCCAGGCAACGTGTGTCGCTGCAGTCGCCGCAGGCAGAAGGAGGCAGTGGCCCCACAAGCGGATGGCATGGATGCACAATGATGCACATCAGGCTTTCCGCGCCGGGGGCCGGGCCACCCCGGGTGTTTGGAACTGTGGCCCTTCTCCGCCTTATCCGCCACGCCATCACCAACGTCTGTCGGAGTTTTTGCGGAGTTACGCGCAAATACGTGGGGTTCAGACGCTTCCCACCTCTCATGGCGCGCGCAGTCGGGCCCGGTGGAGAAGTCAAGCCTGTCTACGGCGGCTGATACGTGGTCGCCTTTCTCCGATGGTCTTTCTCCCGTGCTCTGTCCCTGGGCTGCGGTACGGTGTTGCAGCTCGCGACCTATAGGGTCACTCCGTGGCTCGGCCGGGTAGTCGGTCATCTCCGCTGGGGGCTTTTTGCCAGACCGTCGTTCACGTCCGCGATATCTTCGCCGAGGTCATGGTGATAGTGGACTTTTGCCTGACTACCCGCATCCAGTTCGCCTTGAGCTGAAACGTTCTGGGAAGGACCCGTCTGTCAACAGGATCATCCCGAACTCTCTGTGCCGGACGGGCGCAGACTATGTGCCCGGGCGTGAATGCGCTACGGCGAAAAACGGCATGCGATGTTATACGATTCTGGAATCTACAAGTTTGTCACAAATTTAACACAAGATCAGCTATGCGTTTGTTGGAAAGCTTTCTTTTGGCCCTGACTCGGATTTCTGCGGCAGGCGCTGACTCGCCCTTCTTGGAGCTCTGCTATGTCCGCCTGTCGTTTGACGAGGCGGAGTCGGCCAAGTTACTCGTCCATGCCGCGAGCTTAAAAAGGTCTTCTGCGCGGCCCTGCAACCCTGACGGGCCGAGAAGATTTCTGGAAATATGGCTGAGAAACACAAGTCGTTGTCAGACGTTGTCAGTTTCAGTGATGTGCGGCAATATGACATATTGTCACAATGGCCATTGGTTCCCCATGTTAAACGGGTCTGAGGCGTGGCGAGGTGAAGCATCGGAGGTCGAGAGCCTTTGGCTCGCTTGCCTGCCACGCCACTAGTTCCGGATGCACCAGGACCAGAAGTCCTGAGCTGTTCCCTGAAATGGCAGGCAGTGCCTGATCGCACGGGCGTGTCCAGATCATCGAAGTGAGGAGGAGTCGTATCCACAAACAGAAAAGAGAGAAGAAGAGAGGAGAACATCTCATGCAGACGCCGTGCGCGATCTCGGCAGGATGGCCGGACGGCTTTGCTCTCGGCGGCTCTCCAGGGCCACCTCGAGGCGCTGACACGGCGAAGTGCTCTGTGCTGGGCAATGCTGTTGTGCCGAGGTGGCAAAGCAGCTGTGCCGGGCTGGCCGGGATCTCTCTGATTCGCCTTCTCAGACGGAGACCATCACAGCCAAGGCGCCGTCGTTGATCCAGAAGAAACCGATGGCGCTTCGCCGATGCTTCTTCGCCAGCAACAACAGCGGCTTGTTGATAGGAGCAAGCAGTGAAAGCTTTGTCTTTAGTGCATCATGTCGATCGACGGTGGAGCGCAGATGCGAAGAGCCGCTGCACCCACTTTCTCCTCTTGTCCGTCACCACCCCTCGTGTCTTGTGTATTCTCCGCTGCCTGAGGCTTGCAGCTGCAATGCAGGGCAGACTGGAGGTGCTTGTGCTCTCTACTTGCCCCCAGAGCTCTTGATGCGAAATCCAGTCACGGGCTGCAATCCATTCTGCGAATTTCTTGGCCCCTCTTGCCGATATTTACCGTCGTCGACCGTTGATTTGTGCATGTGTGTTCCCGGCGGGTGATCTGAATGGCCGTAGGTGAACGTGCACCCACATGTTTTGCCAATGCAAGATGCAGGCAGAAATGATCACAAGCGAGTGAGTACATTATTGACACACATACGTGTGTATGTATGTATGTATGTATGTATGTACGTACGTACGTACGTATGTATGTATGTATACACATAAACGTACTCTATGTGTGTGCAGAGAGACGCAGGCATTCAGACATTGACATTACTGCTTTCCGTTCTTCTCGAGTACATGCATTCTCCACATATTGCTAGCCGGATTAGGGCTGCTATGACGAGTCCACCCGTTCATGATGGTTGTCTGTTGCGTTGTTCTTTGCCATTGGTCTTGCCTCTTGTCTGCACTTTGCAGCTCTTCGAACTGGCAGGGGGGATGAATACTCGACGTTCAAGCTACTAGAGGTGTCGGCCACCTTTGCATCCTCGCGGAAGTGCTCCAACTCAGCATGCAACACCTGCACGGAGACAGCCCAGTGGTCGAACACGACATGAGGTGTTCGTCGTTGGCTACTTTCTAGGGAAGGTTGACATGCTTGGGCAGAAAACAAGACGGTCACTCAGGGGAAATGCCAACCTTCTTGCGTGTGTGTGCTAGTTGCCATTTCCTCGTGGGAAGAAGGATGCCCGTGTCTCCGTGGAACAGGAATATCTCCAACTAGAACGTACCGGATGTGTTTGTTTGTTTTGGAAATACAAGTGCCTTGCTGGAGCAGCTGCATGCTCAGATGGTGAAGTTCCTGGCTGACGCCAAGGCCAGATGGAGAGACACCAGCTAGCAAGGTGTGAATGACAGTAGCTTTATGTGGCCGTGAACGCTTCTCAAGTTTAAGCCCAAGCTGCCAATGCTGCAGGCCGCTCTCGATCGCCCGACAGCAAACGGCACTACGCCGTTGCACGTTGCATCCCTGTTCGCTTGGCACGATTGGACTTGCTTATTGTCTTCTGTGCGCTCAGTGCTTTGTCTGCTCTGCACCTTTCGCATCTCCGGCGCAAGTCACCACTGAAACGATTGATCGCATGCTTAAATTGGCCTCTTCTGTGACAAATCACGCAGTGTTGCTGGTGGAAGGCAGGGCCACTTGGATGTGGCAACCTAAGCTGCGTATCGCGATGCTTGCAAGTCAAACAGGCGCTCGAAGCTACGCTTGCATGCCCGCTTTGGATCACTCGCAAAGAAGCTGCCCCTTGTAGCTTCTTTTGACAAGAGTCTCACAGCACATCCAATCTGGCTGTTGCCGGCATGGGAACCGCTGGAGACCTTCTAGATCTGGTTCGGCTGTACTGGCCACTGTTGCTGGGCAACTCGTTGGAGTGGTACGAGTTTGCCGTGTATGGATACTTGGCTGCAGTCGATGTACCAAGTGCAATGCTGAACATGTTTCTCAGGCTTCCGAAAGCTGTAGTTGACTTTGGTTTGGTTTAGTTGAGATGTTTAGATTCGATCTGCGGTCGGCCTACGAGGCTACATGGAGACTTATATGGAACAGAACTTCTTCGAAGGATCAGCTATTGCTACCTGGGCCGGCTTCACCGCCACATTTCTGGCACGTCCTGTAGGTGGGCTGTTCTTGGGGACGATTGGAGATTTATTCGGGCGGAGAATCGCCGTCATCATGTCAGTTATTGGCATGCTTATTGGAACAGCTGGACAGGGCCTGCTTCCATGCCCACGCAATCATCGAGATAGTCCTTGGGTGTCGATGGCAGGGGTTGTAGCTTTGTTTTGTCTCAGGCTGCTTCAAGGCCTTTGCACCGGTGGCGAAATCAGCTCAGTTTCAACCTATGTTGTCGAAGTTGGTTCCCACCGCTCATTGGGCCGGTGCACAGCCTTGCTATCTGTGACCGTAAACCTGGGCTTCATGCTTGCCAGGGTTGTTATCTGGACACTTCAAAGCCATTTGGGTGACAGTGCCATGCTCCAATGGGGCTGGCGAGTGCCTTTTTTGCTGGCTTTGCTGCCAGGTTCTGTTGCGGTTGCCGGGCGGATGCGTTTGCGAGAGTCGGGTGAATTTGTTCGCGAGCACAAGGAGACTGACAGTGAGGACGACAGCATTCCTGGACATTCCCCTTGGCAACACATGCAGCTTGCGCTGCAATCACATTTTCCAGCCATTTTGGTCGGCATTTTCGGAGTTTGCAACATTGCAGTCTTGCAGTACGGTGGTTTGATCTGGACAAATTCGTTCTTGAAAAAACATGGGTCACCGACCAATACAGTTATGACTGCCGGTGTTTGTTCTAGACTGATACAGATGAGCCTTGCGATTTTTGTTGGCTGGCTTGCAGATGTCCATGGTCTGGGGTTAGTGACTCTGGCAGGTGCTTGGACTCTCATGTCAGCGGGCCTTCCCATGTTCGTCGCGTTAGAGTCTGACCCTGCCAACCCGGTAAATGTTTGCATCACCTACGGCATCATGTACGCGTTGATGGCTTCGTTGTGTGGCAGCGTCGTCTTCATGTATGTTGCAGAGCTCTTTCCCACTTCGGTACGGAATCTGGGTGTGGGCATCAGCTTTAATGTTGGCTTCTGCTTCTTCGGAGGCTTCGCTCCAGTACTTGCTGAGGCATCCTTAGACTGGACTCCGCATGGGCCTGGCTTGCTCTTGTCTGCTGCAGGCGCTGTGACATTTCTGACTGTGCTGGCCAGTGTGAAATTACAAGAGGCAGGCAAAGTGCAGCTGGCACATGTCAGACCTGTGCCGTACCTGGGAACCTGGTCCCATGGTTCTCAAAATGTTGAGGAGAGTTTGGAGTCCTTGACGGGCGCTCATGCCCGAATGGTTGCTGCTGTCGAATCATAGCAACGGAATCCGACTCCAAGTAGAGAGGTCCTTGATGTCTCGTTAATTCTTGCTCTCACTTCTTGGGGGCACCTAGTATAGTTGAAAGGATTCTGTTCGGCGAAGATGCAGCCAGTGGCAGCAGGTCGGAGTAGACTTGCTGGGCAGCGACTGCTCAGTCCAAGTCGTTGATGCAGTTGGCGCAGTGAAGTAAAACCTGCGAATTTCTGCAAAGCAGTGGTTGGATATTGACGTCTTCGAAAGCGATGACAGAGAATCGCCAAAAGTGAGAGCTCCGGTCCCGGCCCAGCTGAGGTCGTAACGTATCTCTGCCAGTCCGGAGCGGTCTGCGACAGGCGGGTTGGGCCGCTAAGCTATGCTACCCTTGAGATTAGTGCTTACCCAGTTGGTACGAGTTGCGCTGCAATTTTTTGGTGGGAGATGCACTCCAGACGTTTAGTTCAGTTTTCCTCGTTCTCTAGGTGTTTAGGCTCTCTGGATGGAGGCTAGTGTACCCTACGTGGCTTGGCCGTTTCATATTTGGGGCTCTGAGCGCTGGTATCCGTGGGTGAGAGATCGCCTCGTGGTCCGTCAATCCAACCCCGCAAGCCAGCACATTTCCAGTCACAGCGACCAAACTTGCGAGCTATTGCCGTGGCCGCTACGTTTGCTTATCCTATAGATTTCCCAGCTTTAATTAAAGGAGCTCACGTGACCAATGTCACATCGTTGGGGCTCCATCATTTCTGAGCCAGAAAGCAAACGAATCTGGCTCCCATCCCTGGAATGTACACCCGACGTTTCTTAGCCAATCATGTCTTAATCGGTCATTGCACAGATGAAGCGGCTGTGCAACACAAGGCGTCATGGGGATCTCCAGAGATGCTCGAGCTTGGTCCTGCGCCCACGGGGTCACAATAAAACCAGTGAAACGAAGCACCAAGCACCGTGTCGGATGCACTGGAGTGCATCACTCATAACATCCCGCCCCCACATCAAAACACACGGGTATCAGATCGAGTGCTGTGATCATGTTTCATTGTCGAATCGCATGGTTGATCCTCCCGGGAAACGAAACAGCCTTGAACCGAAACGCACGGACAGACTGCACATGTAGTGCATTCGCTTGGAGAGGGCATAATGCTCATGCTGACTTCCGGCATCTTGCGACAGCATGACAGCAAGTCTGATGCTGGAATTATGAACAGAGCAGAGTGCTTTTCGAAAGGGTAGCATGCTACCGCCAAGCCTGAAGCTGCTTGGTCACTCCAATGTTGGCTCTGGAGTTTGTGGGGAATATTTAGTTCGCGCGCAGCAAGTCATACATCCACAGGATGACATTATTGAGGCATTGTGTGTCTTGTTGGATGTGCAGATGTGTGATGTATATTGCCTGCGGTGAACAGAACGACTCCGGGTGGAGCCACGCCTCTCTACGTGTTCGGCACTTAGCTGCGTCTTTCAATCACGCACACTGGATGGGGGAGGGTACGCACACGCTTGCTTTCAGCACGGGTCTACTTTTGAAGGTCTGTTTGGCAAGCGAGTGCCAGTATGGATTCGAGCATGCACGCTATGGATATTGTTCCTTTCAGCCTTTTCCAGGTTCCATTTCAACTGATTCCCGTCTACATTTCTGCACACCTGGAGCTTCATGAAACTGCAAAGATGCACCTGCAAGGTCATGTTACAACGGTCATCTTCCAATCGCACAGTACCTTTGCTCGCAACGATCGGATGTGTGCAAAAGGACCGCCGGCAGTGACGACATGTGTATTGGACATGTGTGCAAGAGAGGACGCCCACCGGTGCGACCTTGCTGCATGCAGCAGCTCAAGAGGGGCAGCTCGAGGCCGGAGTTGCGGAGCCTGCGGGCGTTGTGCAAGCGACACCTGCCATTCCTCAGGTGAAGGCAGCCGCCGGTGTATCTAGGTGTGTGTGTGTGTGTCTGAACTTCCGAAGCACATGGGAAAAGAGGGTCACTCCCACATTGGTTTTAACAACGCAGGGGGACACAGCATGTCACTGGGACTGTGTAACGAAGCTACCAGTGACATGGGAAGAGAGGACTGATCATCCTCTTGTACTTGCAAGGCAGCTCCCTGAGGTGCCGGTATTAGAAAGCAAGGACAGCCCACTGTGGTGTCCAGATTAGTTTTGCAGTAGCCGTCGCCTGTCTGCCAGATATCGGGCTGATTCTTGGGGCTGATGGGTTGACGCTCCCAGGCACCTATTCGGAGCTAATAGGGGCAACGGCATGTGCGGATGGCGGCATGTGCATTTGACATGAGGGCATGTGCAGTAGCAGCGCGTCTTGTGCAAGAGCAGGTGTGCAGAATTACAGTTTAACGCTTCTTTGCTCAGGGAATGCAAGGGCTTGCGAGTCTGACATGTCGCACTGTGTCTTTTGCTTTTCTCCCCAAGAAGACCAGCAGCGGTCCAACCGCCTTTTACACTGCTCGCTTGTTTGACTGCTCCAGCTGACATATACCCTCTATGGCCCTATGGGTACCAGATTGCTCCGCGCACGCAGCCCATGACGACCTACGTACAAGGCGGCCATACAGTGCCACAAATGCAGCCAGCAACTCCGCTGCAGTCTCAGCATCCTGACACGCAGCCAGACCCGAACAGCAGCTTGCTGCCACCACCCCAGGTAGCGAAGGACAAACGGACAGTCCGAAGACCACCCCAGACCCTCGTCACACCCTATGCTGAGATCAGACAACAAGAAAGGGTCAGGCCACATGCGGTTGATACTGTTGAGCGCAACAAGCTGGTGCAGACACTCATTGACATTGCGGACAACACAAGCATAAAGATCAATGACATGTCTGACCTCGCAAAACCTTCCGGGACACGGGAGGCATGCCTGGAGCTCCGTGCTACTGTTGTGGACATATCAGACAGAGTACACACCATCTTGTATGTGCATGTATGTGCCGTGGAAGGGTGAGGAACGTATCCGGTTTGGATATTCAACATCCACACCACCCGGACCTACACGGAACTATGTCTGTTGCATTCTGTTGCCATGGCACAGACATGAAATCCACAACCGGCGGATCTGGTCCGACCTATAAGCACCCAGCATACATTTTCAACAGGCAATGCTGAAATCCCAGCGACAGTTATCTATGGATCCACACCCGGCGAACTCAATGAAACCACTCTTCATATTGTGGCAGACAACGCCACACGCCGGAGCAAGGGACAACAGGGCGTGCTGATCTTCGGAGTGATTAAGTCTCTCTTTCAGCTCTCATCATGGGCCATAAAGGCATTGTACGCACCCAAGACAGATGGGGATGGCACGCCGGGCACTTTTCTATTACAGGGATTGGACTGGTGGCATAAGATTCATTCGACTTCAATTGTGTTACACCAAGTTATTGACATCATGATCATTCAGGGACTGCATCTGCCACCACAATCCGCTACCTGGCAGGTACGTCTCGACCCCGCAGCAATCACATTCTAGGCCGACAACACAGTTTCGACATGCAGTGGCCGACTTTACACTGTTCACATCATGTTGCTTGCAGATGTTGTATGATTTCATTCCACATGTTGTTGAGATAGTACCGCATGAGATTTCGGCCCTGGGTTTGTGTTTACCAATCACTACGTAGACCCAGCAACAACACAAAGGACAGAAGTGAAGAAGCAAGGTCAGCCACCACACAACAGGTGGAAAATGACACCACCCAGAGGCATGATGGGCACGGCCATCAACAGCATCCGCCAACATTCGACACCACCACCACCACCACCACCACCACCGCCGCAGAAATCAACTTCACACTACGCTGCTACCTCGTCCACTGGTACACAACCGCACCTCCACCGTCTCCACCCATCCTTCACCCAACCACAACCAACACCTCCACAACTTGGTGCACAAGCAACGTTGACTCCACCATCAAGTCACCCCATACAAGCATCGCCAGCACCGCACAAAACACGGCCCAACTCAACATCCACGAGAAACAGCTCCACAAATCCCACATGACTTTGTCCAGGCTGCAGACTTATGGGACAATCGCCAAATCTTTGGCCTCACTCTACCAGGTCACTCCATACAGTATCCAAAACAAAACAGCAGGAATGCCTATAGCCACATCGCCACTCTCGGCTTTCTTGCGCAACGGATGGTCTTCATACTGGCTCCGTTATGCTGCACATGGCAATGACCCACACGTCACATGCAGCAACTACACGATTGAGGCGGTATTCGTCACCGACCTGCTGGCCAACAAGCGTATTGATCTAGATCAGGTTGCAGCAGCGTGCTGCTCGGAGCAACAGCTCAACCTGGCCAAAAGAAACCTGCTATGACACAGCTCGTCGAAGAACTTGTTAGCTACATGCAGGAACTACAAGACAATCACAAAGGTGCATCAACTCCACCGCAATCCGCACAGCCAAAAGGCAAACCAACTACAACGAACCACGCAGAAAGTGAGGGGGCGGCAGACAACAAAGACCCCTCATCGGAGTCCAGCCAACCACATGGATCTACTGACGTCCACGCAGCTCACCGCATCAGTGATTTAGAAGCCCTGTTAGCTAAATGCACAAGACACTATACAATGCAACAACTCAAAGACAAGCAGGCCGAAACAACCAGCCGCAAACCCGACCCACCTGCCATTCAACCGGCTCCCATTGGCGCCCCACCACCTTCCCCTCCGACAACACCCCGAGGGGCAGCAAGCTCCCACCTTCATCCAACCCCCAGTCCACCCGTAGCGCGTCTACCCAAGCCTTCAACCTGGATTCACCCATGCGACCCAACTCCCTTACCGGCCTACTTTTCCCGGGCAAAACTGTGCTTCAGGCTCTGCCAACAATGTAGCAGCCAAAGATACAGTCTCCAGCAACCGACACGACCCAGTCGTTGGTTCCAGCAAACCTTTTCTGGAGTTTATTTACACCGAACGAGGAATCATGCGATGGTTCGGAGGCCTAAAAGGGATTTCAGACAAGCAACGACGACAATGCGAGCAATTCCTCGACGCCACAGCAAAAGCCTTCCCAATACTGGCTACAGAACAGGAAGCAGTTTACATGCAGCAGTACTTGCTCAAGGCATTCCTTACAAAACCATTGAGAAATTCAGCAACCCCGCCTGGATCAAATTGGCCGCCATCTCTCAGATGACTGAGTGATCACCGGAGTGAGCCACAGGATCAAAGCTCACGTGACTTCCGGACCAATGCAGAGCGATTCTCCGTGTTGTTTCACCATATGCAGAACAACTGTCATACGACATTCTTCAAAGTATTTGGCCATTTTGCTCTAAGTTTTCCACTACCACACCAAAGCACAGGCCGGCCAGTACACCATTTTCCACTACCACACCAAAGCACAGGCCGGCCAGTACACCAACCTGCGCCGAATTTTCCAGCATTCCAACATTTTACTGCACACATACACCTTGGCTCAGTTCAGAACGCCACGCCATTTTACACCAGAGTCATCCTGATCCCAAGATTCCAGAAACTGTCTACATTGGCAGCAGCCACACCACAGTGACCAAACGATAAAGCACGCGCAATCGCAAGTACAAGCGACTGACACAACACAAAGTCGTGCAAGCCGAGCTTTCCTTGCGATGGTGGCGCAAACACCGATGCTACCACGACTACATTCCCGACATTATCCACACCGACACCACCACGTCACAATTGAAAGCCACAGAAAACGCCTACATACAACATCATCAGTCAAAACTCAACTACCGCTTCATCTGCCATCACATGAAGGGGACTTTCTCCGGCTTCAACAAAGCTGCCAACAACAAACGCAGTGACTCCAGCACACTTTGGGCCAAACTCAGACGAGGCCACCTACCCGCTACAGCCAGGGATTCAATAGAACATCCCCATTCCGAACGCGCAAACGAGCTCGGCAAACAGTGTCCCAACTATGATCTAACAACCACATCCGCTTCGACACCACAAAACAGCTTCGACGAACGGAAACACCGGTCAGCACTGTTTACACCTTACAAAAAGCTTTCCAAAAATTTGCCGCACAGACACAAATGCACTGCGCACAAAGTACTCGGCGCCGTCTCCAAGAAAAGAAGACGACGACCACCAAAGCCAAACAAGCCGATCTGTGAACAGCCGATGATGCACCTTTCCTTTTCTACAGACCTTCGACATTTCCTACAAACCACAGGTCGCATCGAAGCATACACATCATCAACATCTGCCATACAAGTGGCGGAACTACATGCCTATCACATAGCCGCAAAGCTTACGCGATCATTACAAGCCTGGCACAAACACTATCACCTACCAGTATCCGACACAGAACTCAAGTAGTTTGTGTCAACACAACTGCAAAACCACAAGCAACACAGCAAACACCACATCAACATTCACACTGTCAAAGAAATGCAAACAAAACCCCCTCCCGGCAGAATACATTGTGAGACCCATTTCCCAAACCGACTGATGTGGTACCACCCCACACTTTTGTACCACCAAACCATCACCAACACATTTACAGATCCAGACGTCTTTGCCATTTCTACATCACCACCATTGGCTCACCACTTTGACACCGACAATCACCTTTGCAGCATCCTCCCGTGACGGCAGGAAGGCACCTGGAGCTCAAGTGCTCTTTCCGATCGTTCCGAAGGATTTGGGCTGGGGCACAGTAGCCGACGCCCCGCAGGCAAACCGTCCGCACGGAGGATCGCAAGGAGCCTCGGCGGTCATCGCCTTCGACAAGAAGCTCCTCGCTGGCACCAGGGCTGCAGCCTAATTTGGCGAAAGTCCGGGAAACTTCGTCGGAAAGTGGCTTCCACCCCAGCGGCACGCGGGCAGCCCTTGAACAAGGGATTTGTGACTTGCTTTGGGCCAAGGCAGGCAGTCAATCTACGCCGCAGCTCCTGGACCTTGCCTTTGGCTTGGAATCCAAAATGACGTAAGGTGGCGAGCAAACGTGGTACTGCAAAAGGCCGACCCAGATTCGATGCTGCGAGATTCCCTGTCGGTGATCGAGACTAAGAGTCTCTACGACAACCTTGTGCGAGACGGGAACCAACCTCAAGACAAGTTCACGGTGCTGGATGCGGCGATTGCGAGGGACCGGGAGAAGATTGACGACCTGGGGGTCCAAGTTCGCTGGGTCGAGCACCAGAGCATGGTGGTCAATAGTTTGACTAAGGTCCGCGGCAACACGATGCTCTTGGAGAGTTTTTGTCCTCAGCAACTTCTTTTCGGCTGGGGGCTGGGAAGAACCTCTAATCTTAGAATCTTAGAAGACCGGCCGTTATGCTGGCGGGAATGAGGAGTGAAACCTCGCCAGTGAAGGCCATCAGCTCAGCATAATTTTCAAGGTAATGTGAATCGGCATTCCAACAGTCCATCCGCACTTGACCTGTGGCCTTTCGGCTCTCTCTGTAAGGCCCTTGAGCTGATTGCAGCTACCGTTTACTTAATGTTCCGATCTGTCATCACAAACATGGCATCGACATTCAAGCACCAACAATACAACCGTGGTGGCCACCACCTCTGTCACGGCATCTGCCGCAGTTGCCAGTCTCTTTGGCCCACTTGCCCCCACTTCACTTCTTCCGGGCCTTCCCCGGCCTCAAACCCTTCCTTTTCCCCTGCACGAGTTACATTGGCCCCGAGGGAAGTAGTTTTACCGGGTGACCAAGCTTGGAAAGTGGCACACATCGGCTTTCGTTTCCAGACCCGAAACAAGCGGGGCAAGGGGTGCAAGTGGCAGAAACCAGTTAGTTGTCCGATCTTCCATGCGTACAGCACCATGCGAGGACGAGGACAAGGATTGGACGGGGAGGGGATCGTTGCTTCGTTAGAACTGGATGGGAGCATCCCAAGGTTCAAGGAACATCCTGGAAGCTTGCGAAGCATTAGGCAGATGTTGGCTCAGCACAGCGGCGACCTTCATGAGACGGAAGCGTCGCCTCACAAAGAATCGTTGTTCTGGTGCACGTGAAGTGACCCAGCTGGGTCACATGCATGTCGGACCGGTGCTTCTTCCTTCGTTTGTTCCAGCTCCGCATCGAAAAAGGGTTACATGTGGAAGCTGCCCACCAAACCGGGCGAGCATGCCCTCCCTTGTGGCCGCGATTGGCACGGCCGCACGGCCCATCTCGAAGAGGCGGCTGGGAGCTTCGCCGACTTCACACGCTACGCTGTTTGTTTCGCTTACGGGGCCCAAAAACACGAGACATCCAGCCACGCGTCCACGACCTGTACCGCCGGCCTTGGGTGTCAATGTAGGCCGCGGTTGAGGCCGGCTTCACGACCGTCAGCGATTTACCGTGGCTTCCAAGTTCCCCAGAAATCTTCTGCTGGAGACGCCACCATGTCCGGGCCGATATCTTCTTTTAGAGAGGGCACAAATCCAGCTTCCCTGTTGTTTTGTACTGAGCCAAAGCTCAGAAGAATATTGCCACTTCTTCGCCGCTATGATTGGATCGCGCAGGTGGTCGCTTTCTTGTGTGAGATGCCGGAAGTGGACAAGGACGGGCACAAAATGCTTTTGTTGGGCTTGGGCTTAGTGGCTATTCACGCGAAGGATGCACAGATGCTCGATGGAGCCACCCCGCTACTGGCCGCAGCTTTGCAGGGCCATGTGGTTGCCCCAGTCATATACATGGATGCATGTACATGCTCTCCGAGACATAGAACCAAAGAAATTCGCAGTGCTGAGGTGAACGTGGTGCCCGGCTCCAAGCTTGCAGCCATGCTTGCGTTCTCGTGGCCAAGCCACAGACCACAGACACACAGGTTGATCGACAAAATCTGCGACATCAACCCGAGGCAGCATCTCGCGCAGGTGAAGGCAGACATCCACAAGACGACGAAGGATTCACCCATTACACCAGCAGTGGGTTCGGTTGGAATTCGAGGAGATGTTAGCTCTCAAGTCCTGCTCTCTTGAGGACGGCGCATCTGCACTGCATGCTTGTGCCCGCCGCTTGACCAGCAGCCGGAGCTGAGAAGCCTCATCTATCGGAGAGAAGCTTAGAGCTCTTTGTCACGTAATCCTGCTCATGCAGGGGTCAGCAGATCGACAGGTTCCGGCAGTAACATATGATTGAGGCAACGCACTCCCAAAATCGGCACGCATGTTGGCACATGTCTGTTTAAGTTACATATCCGTAGAGAGTCGAGAACAACGGTGTGGTTACATGGTGTAATTGTGCCAGCAGCCTGCAGCATGGACTTCACAAAGCGGGTAACAAGAAGCGTCGGGGTCTGCCACACGGGACTGGGCCGGGAAAACGAAAGCCAACCCACTGTGGCGCAGCACGATTGTCAACATTGGATGTCCAAAACCCCTTGGGAATGTGAGCATCTTCGAGCGGTTTGAACCCCAAAAAGGTAGCGGGAGCGCGATTCATCAAGTCTGGATGCGCCAAAGCGTTGGCTTTTACGGAGAATTCGGCGAGAACGTAAAGAATGCGACTTTAGTCGTAGCGCAAGAAGCCCAAAAATAGTGTTATCGCCTTATTGAAGAAAAACACAGCGAAAAGGTCCAGGCAGAATCTCAGAATCATGCATACGCTCGCATTGGTCGTCGCTTTGACTGCAGGCTCTGGCCACGTAGCGGTTGCGCGGTTTCTCTGCGAAGCAGGAGCGGACAAGGAGATCTCTGGAGCAGTTGCAGACTTGACTAAGCCGTAGCTCCCGCGAGCAGCGATCACCAATCTTTGCCGGTGCTTCTGATTCACCTTTGTGTGTCTCCAGTTGCGGCTTCGATGCCGCTTGTCGAGTAGCGATGGCCCCCACAAGATTGCGACATCGTGCACGCATTGTATGTTGATCACGAGAAGTGAGTAGTTGCACGCGGTCACGCAACAACATGCATCGATGCAGCATCCAGGATCGGGCGATGATGGAGGGAGCGACCCCGTTGTTGGCAGCTGCGCTGCAAGGTCACACGGAGGTTGGGCAGTAGATCTTTTTCGACAGATTTCGCCAGCCAGTTAAACGAATTGTTCGTTGCGGTGTGCTGTTCTGATTTGCCACCGCGTTAAATGCTCGGTAACCTGGATTCGATGAAACTCCGAGGAGCCTATCCGACTCTAAGCTGGAACAAGTCGGATACATGCACTGCTACTTGTAGTTCCAAGCTCGGAAGTTCGCAAGTGTACGACGGAGTCAATCGGGAGCGGAGCGAGGCTTTTAAGCCCCGCGCCGATACAGCACCTGTGTTCAACAATTTTGCTGTGTCAGCCTGCTAACCTCTGAATCCATTGGCAGAGTCCGATCTCTTGATGTTTCGCTGCCTCCCAGCACGCATTCAGCCCGAGAGCTTACTCAGGCACATAAAGACAGTCCAACCAAGCTACTGTGGCATTGCCTTGCGCCCTAGCACGACGCCAATTTCCAGTGCCATGGTCTTCAGGCTCGTTGCCTTGCCTCGGCAACTTGCAAAACAAGCGGTTCGTCAGTGTAGTGTAGCGAGCGAGATCGCAAAATACGGTGCCATGAAGCCGCACCCGCAGAGCATCGAAAGTGTGTTGAGCTGCAAGGATGTGAAACAGCTTGCCGAGTTCCTGAAAACAGAGTATCCCATACGCTGTGCGGAGCGCATCCAGATGATCGAAGCGTTGCCTGGCTGGTCATCAGCGCCTGAGCTTCAAGAGGTACACAGACGGCACTGGAATGCCTTTGTCGCAATGCGTCACTTTCAGAGCTCTGACGACCTCACACTCTTCAATGAAGTTGTCGATGACATCGTCAACAGCAACAAAGATGTAGTCGCATTGATGGCAAAGGCCATGCAGTGGTTGTCCCGGGAAAGACCCGAGCAGTTCCATGCAGAATTTGTGGACACATTCCTTGACAACTTTCTGTTGAATCGACTTGGCAGCAATGTACTTTTGTCGCAGTATCTTGCGGCTGTTGACAAGACAAGACTGGTCGTGGGGACTATTGACCCACATTGTGATGTTACGGAGATCTGCAGGGAGAGTGCAGAGGAGGTTCAGCGGATATGCAAATACTATACACAGCTGGCTCCATCGATCTCAATAGAGACACATGACGTGACTGCGGACGATCAGTCCGATTTAAAGTTCGCATTTATCCCTGGCATCATCAGCTACATAGTGCAAGAAATTTTGAAAAACAGTGCTAGGGCGACACTGCATCACCTTCTATCAGACGTCGATGTTGATCGGTTTCCCATCAACATCGTTGTTTCTGGTGATCATAAGCGGGTCATGATCCACATCAGTGACCGCGCAGGTGGAATTCCTTTTGATGTTGGTCAGCATGTGTGGTCATATCTCTACACGACGGCCCTCAACGACGTCAGCTGTTTGGCTGGATTTGGTGTCGGCCTCCCAATCTCACGGCTCTACGCGAGTTATCTGGGCGGTTCCATGAATCTTGTATCCTTGCCCGGATATGGAACTCACGCCTATGTGTATTTTCCACGGCTCAACTCAGAGCAGGTGGAAGTTGTACCAGATAAAGACCACCCATGGAAAAGGGCTGACAACTTCATTCTGTGATGTGCGAAGTTTACCCGGGCTTTGCCAGAGCCGGAGATAATAGCAGCCACAGTGTTGCCATGCAGAGGGATAGAAGCTGGGCTTGCAAGTGCACCAGCGGTTGTGATGCGCAAAGCCTCCGACATCGCTGCAAATCTCAGAACTCCCAAATGCGTGTGGTCCTTGGAGCCTTGGACACAAAGGACGTGTCGAACTTTGCTGTATGTCGACCAATCTTGGTACCTCGGACGTACAAACCCTCAGGAGATCAACAGCTTCATGCGAAGCATGCTCGTGTCATCTTGTGGCCAATTGGCATGGCAGTGGCTGCCCGCTTCAGAAACTTGAAGACTGGAGAAACCCAAAGACTATGACTGCACATTGTCACTGCAGATGGACAAAGTGTGCTGGTCACGACTTACGACTTGAGTAGCCCGGTGCTCACCAATCCGAGCAGAGGAAAATAGGCAAGAATGCAATTTAGTTTGTTGGAGCATGGATGAAATCTCACCCCGTGATGGCTGCAGGTGGTGCGTTATCTGTGTGATGCAGGAGCTGACAAGGACTGTTGCGGGTGGCGAGTTCTGTACATGCACGTCAAAGATGTTGGTGCGAGAGACATACTTGTGCATGAGAGTTTGGAGAGGATCGCACCATCTGTGACGGAGTCACTGCTTTTCATGCAGCTGCAGAGCGGGGCTCACAGATGGGTGGTCATTTAGGATACTTAGGTAGTGAAGACGCGGATGACACGGACAAATGCAGGATTACAGAATGTTAATTCTCGCCACATCTCTTGCTGCTGTCCAGGCGAGGTCATGCAGAGGTGGTGCAGTGCCTTTGCGAGGCATTTCTTTGGATTGTATTGCTCAGTCACAGTGTGAGGGTTTGCAAAGATGCTTGCAAAGGTGGGAGCAGACAAGGACAAGGCAATGCGAAATGGCCTGACGCCCTTGATGGCTGCTTGCCTCCAGGGCCACGAGGAGGCCGAGATCTGAACATGGCACGCAGAGTCTTTCGCACGTCAGAAACTCTTCGGTCTCTTTTTGTGCAAACGTTGATTCCGGGGCCTGACGCAGTGGCTTCAAAAACAACGGCCCGGAAAAACGGAGGTGGATGGGGACGCTTCCATCCCCCATGAATGCCATCAGACGCCTGTTTGCGGCCGCAAACGCCAGTGGGGTGATACAGGGACATGCGTCGCTGCAAACAAGCTCTGTTGTCAAAGTCTCACTCTGCGCTGTGGTCATCCCAGTTGCTGAATTTGAACTTCTGATCCATCGCAAGCCAGTCAGGTGGTGCGTGTCTTGTGCGACAACGGAGTCATGATGGAGACCCCGATGCGTGAGGATTGGGGCAATCTTATCACCATCGTGGCGAGACAGTGATTTCTGCTTCGTCTGCTGGCTTTGTCGGTGCTACCAATTCAAACTCCTTGCTCCTTGCAAGAGGCTGATGCCGCAGCATGCCACAGCAGCCATATCGCTTATGCTCACAGGATCTGGTGTTGGCTGCCGTGACTCTCATGAAGCAGCAGCCATGATCTCGGATCGTGGTGTGACTCGAGATGTGCATTCAGAAATTCAGCTAAGAGCCAATGTGCAGTATTCCCAAGGCCGCATTCTCAGATCTTCCTGTGCGATCCGGGGAAGCATGGTGTCGAGGCTTCGGACGAGCCGTCGCCAGCCTTTTAAGATCATTGTCCTGTTATGTCCTGTTGACCCCACGCCTTCGTATATTAAGGTCACTGGTTGCCCTAAAAGACAGCTGTATGAGCCTCTGGCTGGTTGGCCCCCAGTCCCCAAGGGAGCAGGCAATGTCATCCGTGAACAGGGCCCTCTGAAAAAAAATCTTGACTCAACTGGCAGCTATGTTTAAGCAATGCATCGTTCCTGCAAGCTTGGTTGCTTTTGCCTGGCGGCCTATATCACGGAAAGAAGCATGTGTAAACAGCACGGGTATCGCATGTCAACAGATTCAGTGATGCGCATGCATGTGTCAGGAGAAGCATTGGCGGCAGATGCCTGAAGTCCAACCGGTGACATGAAGTGTGCATGGGCTCGGACCGTGTGCATTTTCCCGCATTGCTGCTTCAGGCAAGGTGCGACATCGTTACATGTTGCTGAAGCCTTACGAGATTTGTTGCAAGCTAGCTGTCCTCAGCCCTCGTTGAGAATGCAGTGCCCTTGTGAAAGGCGGCCCTCCATGGGCATTTGGGTGTTGTAAAGCAGCTCTGTGCTAATCTTAGCCTGAACGTCAAAGCATGCTGTGCCTGAGAGCGGTCTGCGAAGACAGTCTGCGAAGACACCAAGGCAGCGCACGTGCCAGTGTAGAGGCCGCCATGCGTGTCCGCAGCCTGAGAGTATGCACAGCGCCAGCCGGGGGTTCACTGTCTTTGGGGACCACGTAAAGGCTACTAAAAGGCTTCCTTTCAACCTTCACTTCCAAGCCATACACCCCGTGAACATCATCTCTTTGCAGCTACTGCCGGGTAGGCTTGTGCAAGCTTAGACAGCAGTGGCAGCAACATTGCAGAGGGCATCGTGAGAAAACGTCCCGTGCTGAGGTAGGCTCAACACCACTCCTGGCAGCCGCGCAAGCAGGCCACAGTGAAGTGGTCGCTTGCCTGCAGGCCAAATTAAAAGAACCAGCTAGTAATTCCCACTTGTTCCGGGAGCTTCCGGCAGTATTGTTTTCGTCCAAGCACTTGCGACATGGCGACGTGTTTCCGCATGCAACAGACGCGGCCTGCCAGCTCAGGTGCGATTCCTTTGCCAAGCCGAGGCAACAGTGCTGCAACTGCATGTTTGAGTTTGACATCTCTGCTTCCAGAGTCCAGAGTCCTTCTCGTGGTTCCAGCGTGGACCCAAGATGATTCCCTCCGGATGTATTGCTTTCCTGGCCTGTCAGTTGTTTTGCCAAACCCGCGGAAGAAAGTTCACAGTGGGCTACCACACCAGGACCAACATATTGCTCGGTGAGGAGAGCATCATACGATATCATCGTATACCAACCCTCACGCAACTGACGACAGCTACTGCTTCTGCAGCTACTACCAGTACCACCTACAACTACCAGTACCACCACCAGTACCAGTACCAGTACCACCACCACCACCACGACGACGATTACTATTACTAATGCGAACACTGCGACTGTGCCACTGCCGCCGGTGCTAAACGAAATGTCTTGCATTCAATTCCTTGCACATGCGAATGTTGAACCGTTGATGCATGGGGCCGGAATTCTGTCCGGGACCAATACTTGTCCAGTCCGGGATTCAGTTGGTTCTTACTTGCCTGAGAGTCCGGACAATTTCAGCAGGCGGATTTGAACGTTGCGACTGGCAATAAAGACGGCGCGCTGCTCAGACGCCCGACGATGGCTGTGACCCGCAATTTCAATCACGAGCCGCCGTGCCAGAGCTGAAGGTGAGTCTCCACTCATGGCCGCCGTTCTACGAGATCATGCAGAGGTGCTTTGTTGTGGGGAAGCACGGCGTAAGTCCATCGAGCACGACAGCTGACAGAGACGAATTAGATGCTTCTGCCGATCTGCGTTGACAGAAAAGCTTTAGATCGTGTGAGGTCAATGGGGTTAGCAAGCAAGCATGCTAGAGGCTGCATGCCGTGCTGACGTAGTGCCAGCATTCGCTGAATGAACTGCCAGGTTGTGCAGGTTCTGTGCCAAGCTCGTGTGCCTTTGCCAAGCAAATCACATACCACATTGACATGTCCGTTCAGAAAGACGTTCTTACTCCGGAGTTGGCAGAGTCAGAGCGTCTTTTTGTTCTTCGCTTGTCTAGCACAGAAGGCCAACATCTCAGCACAGGATGCTCATGCTGTGGGGTGCCCCTAAAGCTCCGTTCGATTCCTGCTTAACGTTGTGCGCGAAGCGAGAAGTATTCAGGTATTTCTTGTTGTGCGCATTCAGGCCGACCCGCTGAATGCAGCCACCAATGGTGCTACTCCGTTGTCACGTCCCAAAGAATCGGTTCTGTTCGCAAGTCGCAAGGCACAAGTGGCTACTTTGGCTCCTTCTGGCACATGTCACCTCACGCTTCGTGAGGTTTGCCGCTCACGTTCTCGGCCTGGGAAGTGTCGCCAGCATCTGAGCTGGCTGCAGCTACTTGGGTCGTGGTCTCCACAGCCAATCATGGACAGACAGTGACAGATCTGTGCCTCCATTCCGTAAGGACCTTCTCTCCACTTCCTGGCCATCACACTAGGGATAAATACGACTCCTCACAAGCTATACTCCGTACTTCCACAGAAGTACACTAAACATCGAAGCAGTCTTTGCAAGAATCCCAATCAGTGCTCATGCTTTCTCTCATCGTCTTCTATGTTCAAATGCAGACGACCTTTCGCACTTGCATCTTACTAGAACTTAACGAAATCTTGATACTTGCTGGGGTGGCTGCCTTCAGTTAAAGGCGTTTCCACACATCCCGAGAGAACACTGCCAGAGTCTGGACAGACAAAACGGGTATGACTGAACTTGCGTTCTCTCTTCATGCAGTGCAGCAAGCTTGGTGCCTTGGGAGGGATCGCAGGGGTGGAGCGTCTGTTCCCGAGAAGTGGGCTGTGTTGCCCAAGCTGCGAGGCTTGGGGAGTTGCAATGTCTGTCGGCGGTGGCAAATTCGGCAGCTTGGGGATGAACCCCATGAAGTTTCGTGGCATTCTGCTGAGATTGAGCGGCCCTTTCGTCTGGCCGAAGTGGGCTAGGGTGTCCATTCATCAAAAAATGGCGAAATCTGATTCGAGTCGGACTTACAAGATCTTGTAGGTTGGATTCGATCGCGAGTTAACTCACGGGTAACAGTTTCATATCTGCCTAACATAGGTTCAACATCCGGTCCAGTCCCACCATGTGGAATCGTATCGAGTTTATACTGGCATGCAAGAGCATCCGACCGAAAGGTATTGAAATCGCATTACATTCTTGGTCACCTGGGTGGTTTACAGTCAGTTGGAAGCTTGTCCTCGAGGGAGTGAAATGAGAGGTTGCTGTCTTTGCTGGGGCGGACGCAACAAACCTGGGCGGCTCCAAGGGCAATCCGGCGACATCTTTCACTCCCACTCAGTGGAACGGGCGGTGGTGGTGACATTGTTGAGAATGCACGTAGCAGGGCAATGCTGTGAGGCAGTCCCTACTGATACTGTGGTCGAATTATGGTATGCGACGGCGGGTCAGTGGATCTTTAGATGCGCGCGGCGCGAGTTGGGAAAGCAATGAGAATTCGGGAAGAAGCATCCGAAATCCTGATGATCCTTCGGCTTGAGCCAAACGATGCAATGCTGAATTTGTGCATCAGGCCAACATCCTGAGGCAGACGGTTGTGCTGATCTTAGCTTCGCGAGCTTCATGAGAACGATTGAAGCCGGGAGGGTACGACATGTCGTAACTGCCTCTTGCATTCGGACCTGTGTGCTTTTGATCGCTTCTATCACGGACAAACAAACGTGGGGAGGACCGTGAGAGGTCCAACTCACTGAGCCAAGCTGCCAACTCATCCGATCTGTTCTTGCTGCTCTTAGTCGTAGTTTTGGAGTGTGCAAAGGTTTCCAACAGGAAATCACGGCCTCCCAACAATCGCCTTTAGGTTTTGACATTTCCCAGCCAACGTCGGTCTGTGCCGGTCAACATGTGTTTTTTTGAATCGTACTGTACTCCACGTCACCTTTAGGCGTTCACCTTTCCCAACCAACATCACCCTTTGTTTGGATCTGTCGTAGCTTCCGCGCCAAGATCTTCTCAGGTTAGGGGTGCCCACCCGGCACCACTGTCTCCTCGCCAATCTCTTCCTCGAAGTGTTACTGGAGTTCGCCATGTTGTGTGGTTGTATTTTTTAGGGTTCGAGGCTTTCCTACCGTACCCAACATTCTCGGCCAAAAGCACCTCCGTTCGGGATTTCCCAACCGACGTGCGCCCTTGGGAGCCAACTTGCTGTGTTCATCCGATGGCTCCATGATTAGGTGCCAACATACCCAGCGTGTGGATATGTCATTTTTCGATTCGTGTCAGTGGCGTTGTTAAGCTTGTCGTAACCACCAATTCAGACCACTGCATGCCGATAGACATTGCTTAGAGCTTGTGCACTGATGTTAAAGTACATGTACATGTGTGTCAGAAGCTTTGCAATGTACAAGTTTATACATCTGTAAACAGTGTTGTACATAGTATAAATGTTTACATAAATGAAAATGTATGAATATATATAAACAAATAAATAAGCAAATGGGTACACATCAGCTTTCACTATACGCACGTAGACGGTAGACATGCATTTTGCAGGCAAAAACAATGCATACTTTTATGCTCTCCGTGTCCCGGGCCTCTTCCACCCCCCCCCCCCCCCCCCC